TCTCCCTTTACCAGGTGAAAAATAGGTAATAATAGATGTCAAAAGATTTGGTTCTGCAAAAATGGGAGACATTTCTAGTGACTGTACAGTCCTCAGTCTCTATATTTTAGAAATGAATATACTATCTTCTCATGTATTCCATGAGATTTTTTTAAAACATACTAATGATAATGGTGTAATGTTTCTACCATTTGCTTTTCCAAAGTCCTAGCTTAAAGCTTTAACTGCAAAAAAGTAACTGATACTACTGACAATAGTAAACTCTGTCACCATGGCACTGTATCATTGTGTAATCTTGGGCAGGTAACTATAATTTCCTCTTCTGTAAAATGAGTTAATTAAGACCCATCTCACAAGATTATTGTTAAAGATAAGATGTGAAATGTCTGGGACCCCATGAACACTCATGAATTGCTGTGGTTAGAGGGGAGTGGTATAAAATTCTGGTGGTTTAATTTATTGTCTATATAATTGGGGAAAATATCCAGAGTACCCTATGTAAATCATAACATAAGAAAGGTTCAAGAAAATAGCTCCTTTTTATAAAGTGAATAGAGCACTCAATTATGTAATTGGCAAAAATCAGCAAGTTCTGACATAAAGTGTAGTTGTTCAGGTAGAGTGAAACAGCTTGGCTCTGAGACTCTGACAAAAGAAAATCTACTGAAATTGCAAACAGAAAAATTTCTGTTTTAAGACATGAGAGTGGGCGGATAAAACAAAACTGAGGCATCTCCATGGGTGGTTCAGTGAGTGGAAGATCTGGGTTTGGTTAGCTGATAGCTCACCAGAACACCAAGGAAGAAGTGAGGCATGGATCAAGGTCCCACTGACCAATTGGAAGTTGTCCATTACATCTAAAAATTAAATTAAACTCAAATTTCATAAACTATGATTATATATAGCAATTCTGCATGTGGTATCATTTTATCCAACAGAATAATCTTTTCTCACGGCTTATCAGGGTGCTGCTGTCAACTTCCATGTCATAGTCAAGCAGCAAAGACAGCACCCACAGAGCTACTGTGATCTGTTTAATATGTAATTTGCTTTCCAAAGGGCTTCATGCTTTATAAGGTAATGCAGTAGGGTTGTCAATTAGTCTGAGCTTCCTAAAACTTTTTTCAGAAATTACACATTATTGGAAATAAGTTAATATCACTAGTAATTAAAACATTGTTTTTGAACCCATAAACATTCCCTTGACAATATCCTACCATTATCTGCTATAGTTCCTTTAAAATTGTATATTTATTATTTAAACTCATCTACAAAGATATTTCCCTGGAATATTAAAACATACTGTAAACAGATCACTAATAATGTAGAAGAAAATGCTTCTTGAATTAACTACTTGAGAGAAACTACCAAATTTTCCTTCTCTAAAATAACTTTAAAACTACTTGTGCTGCAAATTGTACAACATGTGTTATCCATACAGAACTCCTTAAATAGGCTTAGGTTAATCCACAGCCTTAACTTTAAAAAATATTTGACTCTGAGTACATGGTCTCCAAATGTGTGAGGAAGACATGTGGACTATGAACTGGTCCTGGTCACCATGAAATGCTTAAGTATTCGTCAAGCACTTGAATCTCAACTGGATGCCAGGGATTTACATATTAGAATGTGTTTTCTGTTCTCAGAGAACAGCCTTGTTTTGAGGAACTGTTTTATTCAGACTCAAGCAAAGAAGACGACTATGAAAATAAGATTGGCTATTGTCTGCTGTATATTGATGTACTGTGGTGGAAAAGCTCAATCACTAAATGCATCCAATTCAGTGTTACACAGTCTTCTCACATAGACTAATTCAATCTGCATAACAACCACATGAGATAACATTTTTTAAAAGATTTATTTATTTACTTAAGAGGCAGAGAATCACATACACACACACACACACACTCAGAGAGAGAGAGAGAGCCAGAGAGAGAGAAAGGCCCTCCATCTACCTATTCACCCTCCAAATGGTTGCAACAGCCAGGACTGGGCCAGACAGAAACCAGGAGCTTCTTCTGGGTCTCCCACATGGATACAGAGTCCCAAGGACTTGGGCCATTCTCCACTGCTTTCCCAGGCATATTAGCAGGGAGTTGGATTGGAAGTGGAGCAGCCAGAACCAGAACCAGTGCCCAGGTAAGGTGCTGGCACCGCAGGCAAAGGCCCAACTCACTATGCCACAGCACTGGCCCCCATGAGATAAATTTTATATTGTAGGATATTGACAACTAGAGACTAAGGGACTTAACCATTGACCTACAACACAGAAGAGGAAGACTTGAAACTTTACCCCAGGTTTTACCTTTCACTTACTCAAAACTGAGACCAAGGATAGAAAACCCCATTCTATTCAGAAAAACTGTAAATAATATGAATACAAAAAGCTCTACTTAGTAATTACTGTCTCCAGTGGATGGATAGAGGAAAAGAGTAGGAGGGAGAGACAAAGGGAAGTGTAAAAACGGACATTGGTTAGCAATCTCCACTTAAAACCCTTGTTCCACCCTGCAGTCTACCAGAACCTGCCAAGACAGGAGAGCAAATAATCCACCTATTTCCTCTGTCTTTCAAAATGGTTTACAGTCATTTCTGAATCAGAAAGCAGGTTTTTCCTTTTTAAAAATATGAATTTATTTATTTATTTATTTGAAAGACAGAGTGACAGGGGGTTGGGCAGGGGGAGATATCCTTCCATCAGCTGGTTCACTTCCCAAATGCCTGCAACAGTGGGACTGGGACAGACTGAAACCAGGAGCCAAGAACTCCATCTGGGTCTCTCATGTGTATGGCAGGAATCCAAGTACTTGAGCCATCATTTGCTGCCTCCCAGACACATGAGCAGAAAGCTGAAGCAGAAGCAGAGCAGCCAGAGTAGCCAGGACTTGAACCAGGTGCCCAGATATGGGATGAAGGTATCCCAATTGGCAGTTTAACCTGCTGTGCCACCAATACCCACTCATTTGATTTCTTTTTTAATTTCAAATTACATATTTGAAATGAAGCTCATTTTCCCAGAAATTCCAAAAATTTTGCATAGATGAGTAGGATTGAGATAAATTCAAATTTTTCACTTACAAACAAATTTTTCCCTTACAGTCGTTCTTGATCTTGGTTTCACATTAGAATCACTTGAAGTAGCAATCCTTAGGGCTCCATTTCAAACAATGAAATCAGTCTCTGCCTGATAGACCTGGATATCAGCATATCCCTTTAATGTCTTCTCCCTCAGGTATTTCTATCATGCAGCCAAGTTTCAGCACAAAGTTTAGACACTTCTGGGTCACAGTTAATTTATTTAACTAGTTTCCTGCAAGTCAGAAAATTCAAAAATCCTCTGATGACTTCATCTTTATCTTTGTCAACTTAGAACTGTGTCAACTTTCTGTGCTGCAAAGTCTGATTCACAAAGAGGCAAACCTCTGCCAGTTCTTGAACACATATTAAAGACATGAAATGGAGGTTCTAGACCCAAATTTAAGTCCCCTGTCTTGGATATAGTTAAAAGGGATCATGAAAAGAAAGTGGGAGTGGGTAGTGTCTGGAAAAGGAAACCAAGTGATGATTTCTCAACTGCTTGGTTTTTATATAAGTGCCTTTGGCAAAAATCCAAGAAGGAGAAATATGTGTATGTAATTTTGGCAGCAACATAATAGACAGAATTTTTCAAACTTCCAGAGGTAAGACAAAGCACTAGATGTATACTTATACTTTATCAGGAAAAGAAAAATATATAAATCAGAAAATTTTGACATAATTCAACTATGTCTGCATTTCTTACACCCCTGTGCTCCCACATTGCAGAAACTCAGGAGCAATATCTGGGTGTGATGGGACTAAGTGACAATCAGAGGACTCTGGTTTAAGTCCTGGATCAGGCAGTAGTAACTGTTTGACCAGAGTCAAGGTACTGACCACAACAACCTGTAGATTGAGGAGAGGAATCACAAGTCCTATCTATTTTTGGAGCCCAAGAAAAAGAGGGAATAACACATGAAAGCATTATATATGGAAGCCCTATGTATGTAAATTGTTTTCATTATTTTTTCATTTGCATTACATGAGTTTTAGCACCCTGCCTCTAGGCAAGAATGAGGCTAAACCTCTTGCTAACCTCAGACTAATTGGAACCAACCTTCCACAGCTTCCCATTGGCCTGCATCCATGTGCTGTGGAGCCCTTAGACTTGCCTTCCTGTCCCCCAGGCCAGTGGAACGGGTAAAATAAAATGGAGGTGATCTTATCTTCCACTTGGAACATTGGATTTATTCAACTCTTGCAGTTATTGGGCAGGGAGCTCCTGACTCACTGTATTTATCAACCTCATAAATTATTTTTAAGGAAATTATGCTTCTCCTTTGCTTTCTATGGGCAGACATTCACACAGATTCTTGGATGCTTTCAGCAACTTTTCAGGCTTCTTCATTATCACTGCTCACCATTAAGCCTTTGAAGAGCAGATTTCATCTTTGTGAGTGAGCTCCCAGTGAAAAGAAGGCACCATCAAAGAAGGAGGTGCTTTTCTCTGAAGGGAGGAAAAAACTACCACTTTGCTTATGGCCCTGTCTAAACACTGACAGAGTCTGTGGACTCAAAAGGCTTCCATAACCTTGGCAGCTCATGACAAGAGCCTCGGGTGATCACTGATGTCATAAATAAGAGTGTTAATTGTTAAATCACAGGAGTCACTGTGCACTTACTCCCCATGTAGGACCTCTGTCCTTAATGAGTGTACTATGAGAATTAACGGTAAAACTTGTCTTCAAACAGTACTTTGCATGTCTGTGCGAGTGCAAACTGTTGAAACTTTTACTTAGTATAGAGTTGGTCTTCTGTATATAAAGATAATTAAAAATTAATCTTAATGAAGAATGGGATGGGCGAGGGAATAGGAGGTGGGATGGGAGTGGGGGTGGGAGAGCAGGTATGGGGGAAAAACCACTAAATTCCTAAAACTGTATCTATGAAATTTGTATTTATTAAATAAAAGCTTTCTAAAAGAGAGAGAGAATAATATGGTGAGAATTAAGCTTTGAGTTAATGCAAAAATGTTTGATGGACATTCTATAGAAATTAAATTTAATAAATAAATAGCAGTGAAAAAAAAAGGAAGAGCAGATTTCCACCTACTAAACAACAATTGGAAAATGGAGACAATAAGAGAGAGATCATACTTTTCATTGAATCAAGGTATAAGGTTCAACACTTCTGACAAAATCAGACCATCTTCTTCATGGTCCAATATGGAAGGCTCCATCCTCATTTGCAAAGTGGTTGGTCAAAATTCAGATGTGATGAACATCAGATTTCAAAGAGTTAGTTCCAAAAGAACACAAAACAGCCAACAACTTTATACTGTTTTCATGTTGAAGTATTAATATTTTAGATTACTGGATTAAATGAAATGTATTAATTTGTATCATTTTATTTTCCTTTGGAAAAATATTCCCTACAGGAAATGATGAAATTACCTATGTGGCTTTTGTACAGTGATGATCCAGATCTTCATTCTATACTCTGGAAAACTATTCACAGTTTTCTAATTGTCTCTATAATACCTACTGGTTGGCGATTGCAATCTTAAGGACACAATTATAAATAGGTACGACTAAATAGGGAAACCCACTTTTAGTTGTCATCAGTTATTTGTGTGTGAACATGTGTGTGTGGTGTCTGCAAGAAGGACTAAGCAGAAAATATTTCAACTGTCTGTGATAGCTCAAAGAGTTACTCAACTCCTAGAACAGTGGAGAAGAATCACGTGAGCAAAGCCTCACCTGGGAACATTCTACAATGCAGTGTCCATCTTCAGACCCTACTTAATCAGAAACCTGGAGGAGGCAAAAGAAAACAGAAATCTGTGCTCTGAAATTCAAGGTGAGTCTGCTTCATGCTGAACATAGAAACACTCTCCTAGACAAACTGAGGCCTAAGGCAGGGATTTCCCAGATAAAGTATGCTTAATTTCATCATAGCACACCCACTTCCCTAACTCTTAGACTTTCTGTCCACAGCGAATATGCACAGACTAACCAAATGATGGCTTAAATGAAATCAACTTTAATTAGTTTAACAAATGCTATAAAGTAGTCATTTTTCATTAGGTTTAACATATCTTACACATAATTAATGCTCAATACTTATTGAATCATTAACTGACTTCCAAATTTTCTGGAATATTGTATAGTTGAACATAAAAAGAAATATATAAATTCAATGTTTAAGTGGATACCACTGGGAACTCTTCCTGTCTTTACCAGGCAGTTACCCCATTCCTACAGTTGCAGCCAGAGGTGAGCTAAAGAGTTACACCTGTTACATCCTCTAGAGACTTGCCCCAGACTGAATAGGCCTATGGGGAGGTTACAACCACCATCACACCTGTACTTAACCCTCTATCTCCAACAGGTGGCTAATGACTGGCACAGTGATACTAGACCTGGCCGTTTCATCTCAAAGTGGGACACCCTGCAGGGTGATTTTAGCTACAATGATGCTTAGCCTCACAATCAGGTCAAGGGCCACATCCCTCTTTAGCTCTTTCTTCCCACTCTTCTTGCTTCACTCCCTTCTTTCAAGAGTTTCCTGAGAATGCCCTTCCATATATCACACATAACCAATTTCCTGTCTCAGGGACGCCCTTGAGATATCTGCTTTATGGATCATCCTTTAGAAATTTTAAAATCGAGTCTTTTCCTCATTAGCCTACCAATTATAGAATGTTTCTACCCATCATCATTAGGAAAGAATGCAAATCAATTTAATAATATCCAAAACATATATAATAGGATATATCTGTACATATTCAGCTGTCTTAAAACTCCAACAGATACTAATATTTCATGACTATCCAGAGATGCAAACAATATCAAATCTTAAAAAAAAAAAAAAAAAAAAAACAGAAATGCATGCTCATTTGCTGAAGTTGGAACAATGGTTTTAAATCATTTGGAATCCTGGGAGCCCCTAAGAATTTAATAAAAGTTAGAAATCCTCCCCACAAAATAGTCTCAAAAACACATGTATACAATATTCTGCCCAATTTTCAGAAATAGTGTTAGCTTTCTGAGGTGAAGCCTAGATTTTAAGTGAAGAATTATTGGAAGGCTTGATAATTACCTGAATTTAGTGCAGCTAAACTAATGCTAACAATATTTTAATTCCTCTGTGTTCTCTCTCTATATATACATATGTATATATACATATATATGTATACACACATCCTATATTTTAAAGTTTGGAGGGTTTTTTTGTTTGTTTGTTTGTTTTTAAACACAGAGAGACAGGGACAGAGATCTCCCAACTGCTGGCTAGTTCATTCCCTAAATGCTTACAACAGCTAGTGCTTGGCCAGGTCAAAACTCCCACATGGAAGGCAGAGACCTAACTAATTGAGTCATTACCTGCAACCTCCTGGAGTGCTCATTAGCAGGAAGTTGGGATCCAAAGGAGCCCAGGCTAGAATGCAGGTACTACAATATGGAATGCAGGCTTTGTAAATGCCCTAGTCACACAAAACTCACCTATATCATCTGTATTAAACATGTAGGGCAAAATGCACTAAGATCGTACCTGAATGCAGATGTCTTAGTTCTCCTGCCTGGTCCTATGGACCCACTGCTCCTCAGAATCTACCTGTACAGACTGTTCCTGAAGCTGTGAGCCAGTCACTAGGAGGTTCCAGCTCAGCCTAGCCCAATCCCAAATGAGAAAGGATCTTAAATAGTCTCAGACTTAACATTATTTGAAGTAATACCATATCTTCCCTGTCAAGCCTTACATGTAAAATATAACACCTTTTCTTTTTTTTTTATTTTTTTGACACCTTTTCAAACCCTCACCTCTGTACCATGTTCTACTTCTCTATCTTCCCCCTATCTTCCAAACTTTCTTCTCTTCCATCTGAGCCCCCCTGCTAAAGCAAACAAATTCCCCTCTATCATTTACCTCTTTATTGAAAATTCATTTCCTTCACTCCTTGGCCTTAATTAAACCTGGGCTTTCCCTCCCAATATAGATGCTGCAGCAGAAGCTGCAATTCAGCCTCTCGTGCTCAGGAGGAATGGTCTGAAGAATTTGATTACACAGAACAGCACAACCCTTCTCTTCCAGCGTATTCCTCCCCTCACAGACCTCTAAACTCACGGCCCAAACGGGCTGCATTTCCACCATTTGTTTTAGGATATTTTGTTATGCCCTTGCTGTACTCAGTAGAACCGCTTATTTTAAATTTTGCTGTAGATAATTCACATAGCAATTAAGTTGAACGTGAATGTCTCAGGTTACTTTCCCCAGAAACAGATCCTGAGACAGAGTTTCAGTTGTGTATGATTACTTGGGGTACTATTCTCAGGAAATTCATTGGTAAGGAAGAGAGCGAGACAGGCAGGGGGTGGAGTGAAACAAGAATGTGATCTTTGGCTGATTATGGGGAGAGTGGACTTTGTCATTTAAATCTGACTGCAGAGTTATCCCACCTTGAGGCAAGAGACGGACACCATTCAAGTGGCTGAAGATGCATCAGTAAACCAAACAAGAATCTCTATTTTCACAGGGCTCACATTCTCTTGGGGGAGATAAAATAATTCCAGAACATGTGGAGAGAACATTTTCCAAACTTGATGACAAAAACAGACAGTAGAGGCTGAAGAGTAGAGGACAGCAGGCTGGGTCTTGGATAGAGTGGTCAGGGAAGATCTCTGAGAAGCTATTTTTCTGTGTTTGAAGTGAGGAACTGAGTCATGCAGGCATCTAATGGGAAAGTGTTTCTGTGGAACAGTAGAGGCAAAGATTCTGATCCAGAGGCCTGTTGGATGTGGTCAAGAAAGAGTAAGATTTACAGTGGCAGGAATGGGGATACAGTTAAAAAACTACCAGGGCATCTGATTGTGTAAGGCCTACAGACCATGGTAAGAACTTGACCCTTTTTTCTGAAAACTGTGTTAGAAATCTTGCCATCCTAACATAGTGATGGGTTCAGGGCCAGTATTTGACCTTGAACCATTTACAGGCTCAGCGGCATTAGCACCAATGATGGGGATCCAATCAGGTTATGCCAGAATTCTCCTCTGAAGATTTTGAAATTAGAGCTCAGAGAAGAAATGTAGTTCTTAAGTGGCAAAGCTGAAAAACATGAGCTATCACACTTTTCAGGATAGAAGTCAAAAAGTGAGAAGATGAAAAATAAGTGAAAGACAAAGACAATGCCGTTAATAAGGCACCCTCCACTCTGGTTGCTCAGGGGAGCTTCATCAACCCATGCCCTCCACCCAGTTTGGCCATATGTAACAATAATTTCCCCTTAGTCTGAATAAATTGCATTTAGGATCCTTCACCTGGAAGTCAGTATGCTACTACTCTTCTCCAAGCTTGATTCTTTTTATTATTGGAGAATAAAAAGCCTGTGTGGGCATTTAGGGCAGTGGTTAAGACACAGCTTGGGATACCCACACCCTATATTGGAGTGCCTCATCTGAATTTTGGCTTTGGCTCCTGATCTCAGCTATTTTCTAATGCAGACCCTGAGAAGCAACAGTGATAGCTCAAATTCATGGGTCTCTACCAATCACATGGGAGACCCAGACTGAGTTCCAGACTCCTATCTTTGGCCAGGGCTATTGTTGACATTTGGGAAATGAACTGGCAGTTGGAAGATATTCTCTCTCTCTCTCTCTCCCCTCCTCCCTTCTATCTATGTATCTCTGCCCTTCAAAGAATGCACTCAAAATCACAGTGTTGCTCACTACCACCTTCCCAGGAAGGTCATGTCTTAGGTGCGCTGGGCTATTTTAGGTATGTGCATAGATTCCTTCTGCAGTTAGGGTGTGGATGATCCTTGTTCCTGATGGCTTGGAGTATAGTGGAGCAACCTGTGGTCAGAGATGGATACCTGTTTGGGGGGAAATGGGTAAGTGTTGGGTGAGGAGGGATTTGATGTTATGAGTCCTGATTCTATCCTGTCTTACACAGACACACACACACTCTCTCACTCATCCATTTTAAAATTCTACCTTCTTCTGCTCTCTTCTCTCCTTCCTTATGGTCTCAGAAAGTGAGCTTTCTTTCCTATAATCAGTACTCCACCTACTCTTGACTCAGTCTTCTACCCTGTCTCCACTATTTTTCCCTGAGAAATATCATCTCAAACTTAACTCTTCATATATTCCATAGTTATGCAGGTTCTTTTTCTTTGACCTAAAATCATGCTCACATCTCTACCACCTAGAAAAGCCCATTTCCTAAATTTAGGCTCTGCATGCCTCTTCCCAACCCTTACTGGCTCCCCTCTATCTCCAAAATTAGAAACTTGACCTATTAACTTGTGCAAGTAGCACGCCCACCTTACACCCTGGACTATCCAGTGATTCAAATAGGATCATGCAACCCTTTACCCACAAATTTGTCAATATTTTATGGACTTAACTAAAGCTCAACAAATGTTTCTGACATCCTGAGTTTCATCAACAAATAGAGATACTAGTCATTCCCAAACCAAATGGTAATAATTTGGGCCAGTTTGAATTGCCCATGGCACCTTCATCCTCCATGAGCACACCATCAAAGTTTGACTCTGCCCAGCTTTTTTCCATCCAAGGCTGACAATGTTTTTGTTCTTTGCAAATTTCAACTATTTCTCTTTTTCTCCATAAAGTTTAATGAACAACATCAATTAAGAAATGCAGGCATTAGTTGGCATAGTAACAAAATCCATAAGAACATAGAGGATGATTTTGAGATCAATATGAACTATTAAGGGAGTGTAAAAGGGGTCCAGTATCTAGTGTGTTTGGACTTAGCCAAACACAGCTTCCCATGAAAACCCCAAAGACACTTGAAAAGTTTCCATAAAAAGTATTGAAAAGGCTCTGCAGACTTCAAAGGCCATTTAAAATGTTTTGATGAGTTACGTGTAAATGAACATGCAGATTAAATTTCCATCTAAGTCCACATGCTCTTAAAACATTGAGGGGAAAGGGCTTTGCCAAACATGCTCTGGGTTTTTCTGAACTCAAAGCCATTTACAATATTTCAACAAACCCAAATGTGGCAGGACTCACCCATCCCTGCACCCGTCTCCTCACTAATTCAAAGCATAGTTACTAACCAGCAAGTGTCAGTAAAAAAGAAAAATGGTTGCAGAGGATTAAAATAAATGGAGACTGATTTTCTGCTCATTTGAAGGAGGGGAGACTGTCTTAGAGCTATAAAAATTAGTTTGTTTCTCTAGCTTTTATTTGAAGCATTAATGATTAGTTTAATCAACAAATACATTATTTATTGATATTATTGATTTGAGAGGCAGAGAAACAGAGAGAAAGATGGAGACAGCTTCCATCTGCTGGTTCACTCCCCAACTGTCTACAAGATTTTGAATTGAGCCAAGGCCAGAGCCAGTTGCCAGGAACCCAATCTGGGTCTCCTAATTACATGAGCCATCACCTACTATCTCCCATAATGTGTGTTAGCAGGAAGCTGAAATCCAGCACAGAGCTGGGGCTCAAACCCAGGCACTTGGATATGGGATACAGGTGTCTCAGCTGGCAGCTTAACTGCTAGGCCCCAGATGTTCACCACAACAAATACATTTTTGAGCAACTACTACATGCCAAGCACCATAAAGAAATCAAAGGGTTATCTGAATCTTCTCTTGACTTTCTCAGGATATAGGGCAAAGCAAAGATTTCTTTTGCAAGTCTAGATAAAGCACTGCTCCCTGAAAGATGGTGTCTAAGTTCAAAGAAGCCATGGGAAAAAATAGTGACAAGTATAGACAATGCTCACATATATACATTGTCCAGTTAACAGAGCATGAGACAGGAACCTTGTGGTTTATGTAATCCTGAGGTAGTTTAAGGGCCAGAGAAAACATCCTCAACTAAGAGCCCTGCTCAGCACACCTGATCCCACATGTCCCAGATCCTACCACCCTAGCATCCCAGGTAGTGGAGCAGATCTATGGCATGGAATTCCAGATCACTAAACATTTAAACACTGTTGGATGCCCCAAATGTAGCACTATCTAGCTCAGAAATCCAATTTGTTAGGGCAGGCATTGTGGCACAGTGTGTTAAGCTTCCACTTGGGATACCCACATCCCATTTTGGAGTAATGCTTTGAGACCTTAGAACCCTACTTCCAATATAGCTTTCTGCTAATGCATCATGAGAGGCAGTGGATGGGCTCAAGTACTTGGGACCCTGCCACCCGCATGGGAGACCCAGATGGAGTTCCAGGCTCCTGGATTCAACCTAACCCAGCCTTGATTTGCAGACTAGTGTATGGAAGCGTGCTCTCTCGCACACGCATGTGCTCTTACTTTCTGTGTGTGTGTGTGTGTGTCTATCTCTGTCACCTTGCCTTTCAAGTAGATGAAAAAAATCAATAAACTCTTTTGAAAGAAAGAAATCTAATTTGTCAGCAAATAGCTTAGTGACAAAGCAAGAAGAATTTAATTTGGGGTTTTCCAAATTAAAAATAAAAAGTTACCAGCTCCCTTCATTGACCAGTCTGGTCAAAATTCTTTGTTGTCCTAGGCCTCAGTCTATAGCAGTATGAGATTCTACCTGATCCAAATATGGCTGCCACTAATTAACACTTTTGAAAGTTCTTAAGCCTGTGCATATTTTCCTAATGAGATACAAAATGTGATCATCTAATTGTCCCCCAAGGCAGATTCAAAAAGAGAGGTCAATTGAGTGGCCATGTTTAAAATCTTCAAAGGAAAGAGACAGAACATGACCAGTGCTGGCTAAGCCAGCATCCCTTATGGGCATCTGTTTGTGTCCAGCTGCTCCTCTTCTGATCCAACTCTCTGCACAAGAGAATGACCCAAGTGTGTGGGCCCCTGCACCTATATGGGAGACCCAGAAACTCCTGGCTCCTGGCTTTAGATAGGCACAGTTCTGCCTGTTGCAACCATTTGGGAAGTAAACCAGCAGATGGAAGACCTCTCTGTCTCTCCTTCTGTCTGTAACCCTGGCTCTCAAAAATTAATAAATAAATCTTTAAAAAAAGAAAGGAAGAGAAGATTATAAGATACAGAGTCTTGATTTTAGGCATTCTGAGCACTGAGACCTGACATTCTACTTCTTTCCCATGTTTTTCTACAATGCCTGATTCTGAATCCACTGTCTGTTAACTAACAAAAGCTCCCAGATACTTAAATCAAGGTTACAGGATGGAGGAGTAAGGACTGTGGGGGATATAGGGGCTTGAAGGATAGAGAGTCCCAAGGGGAAGACACCACTGCCAACCATTTCAGCTGCCACCGCTGCTTTGTGCTGCTAATCACTACTATCAAGGTGAGCATGAACACATTCCCCACTTGAGTGACAATACACATTGCACTCCAAGCCTTTACATATTCCCTGGACAGATGGAAAGCAAGAAAGTGAGTGAAGGGGAAGGGGCCGAGCTCCAGAAGAAAGAGCTCTCCGGTGTGTGGGTCATTTCTACCCATTCTTTCTTTAGCAACTGTCACACAGCAATTGAGTTACATTAGATATTGTGGGAATGAATTGTTATGCATGCTACAGCCTCACTTAGAGAAACTCTGTCCCCTATATCAAGGCTTACAAAACTAACCAAGAAAAATGTACCCCAAAATCACTTCTGGACTGTGGAGGTTTTTGTAGTTCCATTTTTAGTGATGTTGTATCTTTGACACATATTCCGAGGTCATGCACTGAATTCTCAATTTGTGACCTGTTTCTAAGCTTCACAGTACAAAAGAGCACCAATCAGATTTTCCCAGGAATAAATCAGGCACATTCCGGGAGTAAATCAGGCACCTCTGGAAGCAACACTGACTTTTTTAGGCCACCAGAACAACTATAACTGAATTACTGCTTCCGCGGAATAAGTAGACTCTTGTCTTGATTGGAGAGAGCCAATTCAGGTTCTTAAAGGACCAGATCTAGTATTTTTAGAAGACTCTGGAAGACTAGGATTCATTAGCAGTCTGGTGACAAATCAGCAGTCTATACCTGGGTCCATGTGGGTTCCAGGCAGGACAATGTAGTGGCCAGAGAGTGTGATAAAGATCCGAAGCTTGGGGTTAGGGGCTTCACTGATAGATGTAACTTCAAAAATTGCATAAAAATGGAGTTAAAAGGGAAGTTTATTTGGGTACTTTCAAATCCTTGTATATGAGGATTCTTCAAAAAGTCCATGAAAATGCGTATCATAAAAGAACTGCATGCCTGTCAATAATTTTTGGCACCAACATAAACTTATCTTTTCACTCCATTTTTCACAACCTTTAAAAAAATACCTTCATAACTCTGAAAGATGATCCTGTCTCTTTCTTCAGCACATTTACTTTTCTGTTAAACTCGGGATTCTGGGTGGGACAAAAAGAAATGACCAAGCAGGCTGCCGTCTAAGAGCTCTAGCCCTCATGGCGTAAGGCAACGGCTTGCTATTGTAAGAGAAAAGACTGTGGTTTGCAGGGTTAGGCACTCTCTTTTCCTACCTTGTCTTCACCTTCAACACTGGAATGTTGTCTGGTTAATTTTCTGGCTGAATAAAGATGTTTCAATACTATAGACAGGCATTCAGCTAATATTAAATAAATTAAGAAATATGATTTTTGTAAGTGTATGTCTATAAAATTTCTAGAGAAAATATTTTGTTTCATTAATACTTTAAGCCAATGAACATCTTCAAACATCTTAACAATAAGTAAGAATACAAGAAGCAATAGGATGAACTAAATGGTACAATTAAATTTTGGATAAGAGTTACATGTAATAAGTGCTTAATATATTTCAGAGATTACTTTAGGCACTATGTATTCTAGAGTTTTTATTTGTTCCTCACATGTAAATACTTATTCTAGAATAATAAAATTTGACTGTATCTGGACAATATGTAGCCTGATTTCCTCAGTTTTGTTGCTTTCATATTATGTAATACTTGTTTTACTTGAAGAATCAAAAAATTTAATGAGACATTCATAATTCCACAACTTAATCACACTCCAGCAAAATTATAAGTAAGATATTAAAGCACACCTCTCCCAACCCAGCACCCAGAAACTGCTTGGAACCTTCCCTTTATGATTTTCTCCTGTGTTTATCAAGATGGCTCTACACTGAAAGAGATGAAGATGGAGGGAGGTGGAAGAGGGCATGTTTTGGGTCATATTCTATCTTTTTTTAAAAGATTTTATTTATTTATCTGACAGAGTTACAGACAGTGAGAGAGACAGAAAGAAAGGTCTTCCCTCTATTGGTTCACTCCCCAGATGGCCGCAACGGCCAGAGATGTGCCAATCTGAAGCCAGGAGCCAGGTGCTTCCTCCTGGTCTCCCATGGGGGTGCAGGGGCCCAAGCACCCGGGCCATCCTACACTGCTTTCCCAGGCCACAACAAAGAGCTGGACTGGGAGAGGAGCAGCCAGGACTAGAACCCAGCACCCACATGGGATGCCAGCAACGCAGGTGGAGGATCAACCTAGTGCACCACGGTGCTGGCCCCATATTCTATCTTTTGATTCAGAAAGTGCACTTTTAATTTACAATAAATATAGTAACTCTTCATTCTCTTTAATATTGAGACTTCATAGTACTTCATTGAACCATGAATCATCATATAGCCAATTATTTCTCTATTCATGGACAAGTTCAATTCTTTTCTTTCTTTTCCCATCATAACCCAAACTAAACAGAACATTCTTACATATGTGTTAAGACTGTTTATATACACATATGTATGTTTATGTATGTAAAATAACATTATATATGAATAATTTAATATACATACATATGTGCGTATTTATATAATGCCATATATACACATATACTTACTGTTTTTGCTGGAGCTCCAGGGGAGGCATGTAAGGCAGGAGGCTAGATCAAAGAGTTCTCATTTTGCACACAAAGGAAATATGCTCTGCTATTATATATGCTCTAGCATAGATCTGTAGAGATTAGTTTATCATATGTCAGCGGGGCTCAATGCCCCCAGAAATAGGGAAAGAAAAGTGAACATTGTGGCCATTTGGGGAGTGAACCAGCAGATGGAAGATCTCTCTTTTTTCTATCTCTCTCTCTATCTGTAACTTGGCCTTTCAAATAAAAATTAAAAAATAAATCTATTTTAAAAAGAGAGACAGCCCAGGCCTAGTGTATGATTGCAGCTCTTGAAGACAAAATGTGGAGGGACTAGAATTCAGACTAGGAAGAGGAGGATCAAGAGACCACCAGAAAGGGTCAAGGAAAAAGAGGCTGAGTCCTATGGCAGCTGGAGTAAGCTGCAGACAGGAGCACACTCTGAGATGTTGCAAGTTATTCTAGTCTGTACTCTCTCCTTTGTCCCCTACCTTTGATGCAAGCTGCTGTACTCCAAACACTGGTAGAGGCAGTACCTAGGAGAATAAAGCAACAGAGTGATTGACTCAAGTTCCACAAATGGCAAAGGCAGCAGAGCCCAAGGTCAAGTGGGCAATGGAAATAAGAAGAGAGGCAAGCTGGTGCCTGGACCAGCTCTAGGGAGGAGAGCCACTGCATGGCCTATCTAGTTGTGCCAGAGAAAGGTGGCCTGGAAGGCAGAGGGGAGTTTAGGTGCTCTGGTTGTACTTAAATAGGGGTTATCCTTGAGCAGACACCCGGGTCACAAAGGGACATCCCTTAAACATTTTTCATTTCAACAACATTCCCAGAAACACATTCACTTCAAACCCACATTCAAGAAGACTTTTAGTCACTCTTTTCTTGCCACACAGATCTTAAACTTTAATTACCAAATGTCTGCTCTGACTTCAACAATTTGTTTCTAGTATTTTCCACTTCTGCCAGTGCCTCAGCCATGTTCAGCCCTGGTCTGCCATGCAGCCCGCTTCCCACAGGCCCCAAGCCACAGGTCTATGGTGGCTGCTGCTGCCTATAAGCATCTGGCCAAATGCTCCTACCAGCAGCACAGACCTATTTGGCACAGAGACAGAGAAGACAGGGACTTCTTTTTTTGTCTGTGACTGGATACCTTTTTTTCCTATCTCCTCTCCTCTTTTTCTCTCTCCTCTTCTCTCCTCTCTCCTCCTCCCCTGTCCTCCCCCTCCCTTCTCCTTCTCCTCCTCTCTCTCTCTCTCTTCCCCCCTTCTCTCATCCCTAGCATACTTTAAGTCACAACACAAATACATGTCTCCCTAGATCCTCCAACAGTTTGCTAGGCATATGTTACTCAGGGAAATACTGCCCACCAGATTTGGAAGTAGTGAAAAGACAAAGAAAGAAACAAATAAATTCTTTAGGGAAGATCATGTCTGCAACTGAGATTCTTGCAATTAATCCTTCCATATGTCCTTGCCCCATAAATGTTGCAATAACTAATTATACCACTCCTGTTCAACCAAAGAACCCTGGCAAGTATTCAATATACATACAAACACACATATACACACACAAAAAGTTTGACTTTCTCATACAATGATTGTCTTTAGTGGAGTAAGCGTTTAGGCAAAACAGCTCTTTCTCTTGCTTGCTCTTTAGACATTAAGAGTTCAATTTTAGGGTACAATACTACATATGCCTTTTTTAAAAAAAATTACTGCACACTGTACAACAGGATATCTGGGCTGCTCACTGTAATCAGTGATTACTAAGCAATGACTTGCTGCCAGGAAAATGCAAGTATTTGTTGGTGTGGTCATTTAGCCTATTGGTTAAGGTTCCCCATCCCACATTGGAATTCCTAGATTTCATCCCTGGCTTTGGATCCCAGTTCCAGCTTCCTGCTAATATGGACCCTGAGAGGTAATGGCAATGGTTCTAGTAATTGGGTTCCTCCCATTCCACAAGACCTGAATTGAGCTGGCTCCCAGCTTCTCTCCCTGTCAATTTATTTTTTATGTATCTGCAAAGTGAGAGGGCTTTGAGGTATCAGTACAGCAAACCAGAAAGTCAACAGATTCTCTTCTTTTGGGCATCAGTCTCTATCAAATGGGAAGGATCACACCCACCTCTGAGGGTGCAATCAGCAATGAGCACAACATGAGGAGTAAAACCCTTCTTGTGAGGGGTGCTGGGGACTGTTATTCATTGCTTGAGTCTGTGAAGGATTTGACATTTGTACCTTCCGACAGCCAACCACATCCTCAGTGTTTCCTCTTGCCAGCATCCCCTGTATTATAACTATTTGATAAATGTTTATGAAATTACAGACAGGCACTGTGGTTTCAAATAAGAAATAAAGAGACAAATCTGACACTTAACTGAGTATGTTCTACGCATGAGCATAGTGCTAGCTTTAGATTTATGGTGTCCTCTTCAGGGCCCCTTAGAAACAGATTTTGAGATTCAGAATTGTGTATGGAAGGTCTGTTGCAGAGTGTTCCCCGGAAACACATCTGCGAGAAAGTAAGCAGGCAAGGGGCAGGCAGAGGGTGGTGCTCACCTGCAATAACATAGTAACTGAGGCCTTAGCTTATTACACAGGAAGCTTTGCAGCTGAAATACCTTCCAGTTATCCCAAACTGAGGGTTAGGGCAGGATTTTGCATTTCCACATAAGCCAGACAATACCTTGAGGAGAGAATATAACCTTGAATTAGATAGTTCCATGCTGTCAAGGGTAAATCTGGTAAGGGCACAGATGTCAGCCCTCAGCAGACATCATCTACAGGGATGAAATATCCTGGGCGTAGGGAAAGGCTAGATGAGTTTTCTCCCTCTGGAAACAGCTTCTCTGGCTGATTTTGTTCCCAGGGACCTTTCAGAAGGGGTAGGGAAATGAACCAAACCACTGATGGAGCAGCCGACCTCAAAGCTATATAGCTGAGCATCCTCCTCCTCCTCCACATCCCATTCTAGATTCCCCTTGTTCTCAGCTAGTAATGTTGCTGACTTAGCCAGCTCCCCTAGTACAGTGACCCAAACAGTTATCCCTGGTCACCATGCATTGATGGGCCACAGCTAGCAGACATGTCTGCTCACTGTTGAGGCTGGATGTGTAAGCGCTGTAATGTTTCCTGTGCCACTGCATAGCAGCGGCCCTGCCTCTTGCTAATGATGAAGGCAATTACTCCTGTCAGTATGGAGATTCCTTTCCTGTTGGTCTCTTGGCAGAGGCCTGAGGTGACCATATGGAAGCCACATTTTCAAGTCTGTGGTGCTCCTATTTTTCCCTGGTGGAAGTATTCTCCTTGTGGACCCAGGACCTTTGGACCCAGAGACTAAAGCTGATGGTGTAATCCACATTTTAGAGGCTTTATCATCAGAAGATATTATCTCTCAGTTGCACCTCATTTATGTAACTAAAAGGCCATCACACCACTCTATCAAGCATGCTACTTCTATGTGCCACAAGACAAGTGGAGCAATAATCATGAGTACAGTGCTGCACATCCTTTGCTATAGAGCAGGTGTATTGGTCCAAGGTAATGCTGTGCTGTACCCTGTGTTGATCAATCAAACCTTCTGTTAAGTCTTCAGATAGTGGCGCTGAGCATAGGCTCTGTGGACAGGAAAGGCAAACTCATATCTTAAATGTGTATAGATAACTGTAGAGATGGATAGCTTCCTTTTCTGAAGTGAAAGAAGTCCAAAGTAAGGGTAGACATTATGGCTTAATGGGGTAAGCTGCCACCTGCAATGCTGGAATCCCACATGGGCACTGGTTCAAGTCCTGGCTGCTCCACTTCCAATCTATCTCCCTACTAATGTGCCTGGGAAAGCAGCTGAAAATGGTGACCCACATGGGAGATCCAGATGAACCACATAGCTCCTGGCTCCGGCCTGGCCCAGCCCTAGCCATTGCAGCCATTTGGGAGTGAACCAGCAGACCAAATAAAATCTTAAAAAAGAAGTCCAAAGCAACCAACCATTCACCAAGAGGCTAATTGTTCTCCTCCAGGAATAGTATTCTGTTGGCTCTCAGTCCTAGTCTTTGTTGCTGGCATGTTTGGCATTCAGTAGCATTAGTGACTAGATCAGGCTTGATAAGTAGGAGAGGGAGTCTTGTAATAGTACCTATCCCTGCCACCATGACTTCTCTATTCACATTATCACCATGCCATTACTGTGCTAGATAGTGACCAGCGTCAACTGACTGAGCCATTCTGTTTACCGGATTGTGTAATGCCTCTCCCATGGTTGGTGCACCAAATAGGCATTAATACAGAGACCTTGCAGTTTGTAAGCATTCCCACAATTCCACCCATGGTTCTCTTCCAAGACCTCCTTTGTCCACAATCTTCCAAACTTTGCTATGCACTACTGTCCAGTGGTCTAAGTACATTCTCACTTCAGACCACTTCTCTATCCTGCCCATTAGGAGAATTTTTCTCTTATATTTCCCATATCTTTCAGGGAATTCCTAAGTGTGTTTGGAGTGCTGTAACATTTTTGTTTGCATCAACAAACACAAGAATACCCATGATTACACTCAGCATTCTTTTCTCCTCCCATTTGGTCATAAGCTTCCCTCATTCCAATCCAGCCCTAAATGAGAGCTGTGAGAGACATAGTGATTCAACAACGATGTTGACAGAACAAGTTACAGTGAGTAGCTACACGGTCACTTGATTTCATATGCTCAGCTGCTTCATCTCTACCAAAATGTGTTAGCAGGTGAGGCAGTACTTTTTTTAAAAAGGCAGAGAGAGAGAAAGAGAGAGAGAGAGAGACTCCTCAAATGCCCACAGTGGCCAAGACTGGACCAGGCTGAATCAGGAGCCAGGAACATAAACCAGGTTTCCCATGTGAGTGGCAAGAACCAATTACTTGGGTCATTTTGTTGCCTCCCAGAGACTGCATTAGCAGGAAGGTAGAATTAGGAGCCAGGAGTCAAACCCAGGTACTCCTATGTGGAACAGTATCTTAATAACTATGCTAAATGTTCACCTAAGAAGAAGTTTTTGAATGCTATGTGGCAAAGCCTTACTCTAAAATCTGGGAGTATACATTGTGATTTTCCTATTGGACATGGCTATAAACACCCCAGAGTTTCCTTTCCCACAACAGATAACACTGACATCGTAGAGTCTGTTAAATTGCATGCCCCACTGTAGAGCTCTTTCCTGCTCTAGGCCTTACTCAAATCAACCACCCATATTATTATTCAATAAATGGGTCTGAAAAATATCCCGAGTGTTAAATATGTAGCTTTCAGAATCCCAAGAGGTATATCATGTACTATGTTTCTTTCTAATGAAAGGAGGAGTAAGATGAAACAATTTGTCATTAATTCAAAGGACATACCTCCAAAATACCCTAGAACCCTGAATTCCTAAAAGTATTGTTAATCTAATTACTCCCTGAATATTCATAGTATTTATCTCCCACATTCTAGGGTGTCTTATCAAGACCTCTAACATACTTGCATTTCCTGCTAATTCCCTGCTAATCAGCAGGATGTCAATATAGAAAGCCAAGAGGAATGTTCAGAAAGTTCAGCTTCTTTCATATAGAGAGTAAGAGAATTAACATAGCCCTGAGGCAAGACTGTAAATGTATATCATTGTTTATTCCAGTGAGTGGGAACTGCAAAAAACACTCTTTTCTGATAACCAGAAAAGAATGTATTTATCAGCCATTGCACATCAGACTAATTTACTCCAGCAAAGATGCTACACAAGGCTGCTATAAGAGGCTGCTGCAAGAGGCTACAACATGGTCAATTCATCCAATGGAAGAAAGATAAATTAACTTAAATATCAGAGGCCATACTACTTATCCATTCTGTATATCATTAAGTGTATCAGTAATATCTTCTTTTTTCCCTGGGATATACTGTTGATTTTGGTTTATCAACTTTTGCTGCAGGATGGGTCGTAGGAAGGCAGTTTCAGAGGTTTCTACTAGGCACTTACAACTCTAACAGCTCATACGCACAAGCCAATAAACCAGAATGAGGATATTTCTACAAAGTAGGTTCACTCCAATGACACATTTAGGGACCAGGAAAATGGCCATTCAGTAGGACCGTGAACTGAAGGGACTATGAGTGGACCTGGGTCAGCGTGTTCTTTACTACCAGCCTCTAAGGATTCCCACTCAAATGGAGAGTCATAACAGATCATAGATAAATGTGAATTCAGACCCCAACACTGTCAGTTTTGAAAGGCTATGTATTCCATTTTTCCCAATGCATTCAAGTAAACTGTCATAGGTACCTTTAGAGGAAAGAATGAAGGAGTTACTACTAAATACAAATGTTGTAGACAGTATTGCATATTTCTTCTACATATGGATATAATATCTTTCAGTCAGTGGCTTGCAGATCTAAGGCCTGGATCAGGTCTAGAGACTTATCATTAAGACAGCTATCATCAGACTCCGACTGTCATCTCTATAGCTCTCTGAAGGTTTGACCCCTGTAGCATCCACTTCGATCTTGACACTCCATGTAGTAACTAAATACCTGCTCCTGATTATTGGACACTGTCACCTGGCCTCTATCACCTGGCCTTATGTCTATCAGCTCTATCAGCTCCATTATAGTAAAACAGTCCAGCATTCTAATAGCATCTCCAGTCATCAATCCTGGCTAACACACATTAGGCACCACTGATCTTCCCAATGTTGCTGCCACTCCTCTCTCAGGCACATACCTCATAAGTACATACGAGGTCCACTTGGCCTTCCAGTAAAATAGAGTCAACTCATGAGGTTTAGCCTTATGTAGTTACTCACTCTAGCATGCTTGATACTCTGAGACTTTTGATCCTTTCCTAAAACATTTGGCAGAAAAAACTCAATTCCTACTTGATGTGGACCATCACATTACCCAAGCTTCTAAGAGGCATCATAGCAGTGTATTATTACTGTAGGCAGAGTCCTTGAAGGGTGTTTAATTACATGTCACAAGAGAGTGTTCCTATATCAATAGATCTCTCTTACCAACTTATGCTCTGCCATTCCTTAATATAGAACCCTGAAGATACTGGTTCATGCAGACTTTTCCCACTCCTGCTGACACATACAAACTAGAACCTGCATCTAGTACTTAATCTCTCTCTCTTTCCTTCACAGCTCTAGTATATTCTGGGTTTTGACTGTTGTCATTTGTCTGACTGCCAGGAAAGGAAGAGAGGGTAGGTTTTTTAAGATTTATTTATTTGAAAGGCAGAATTACAGAGAGAGAGAGAGGGAGAGAGAGGGAGAGAGAGGGAGAGAGAGAGAGAGAGAGAGAGAGAGAATCTTCCATCTACTGGTTCACTCCCCAAACGGCTCTAATGGCCAAGGCTGGGCCAAGTGGAAGCCAAGAGCCAGGAGCTTCATCTGGGTCTCCTATGTGGCTATGTGGCTGCACAGGCCCAAGGAGTTGGGCTATTTTCCACTGCTTCCACTGCATATACTACCCAGGCACATTATCAGGGGGCTGAGTAGAAAGTGGAGCAGCCAAGACTCGAACCAGCACCCATTTGGTGGCATTGCAGGGAGCAGCCTATCCTGTTATACCACAATGCCAGCACTGACAGGGTAGGTCTTAAGGAGCAGTGAGAGGTGAGTATTGCCCTCACCAATGAGGTTTTTGTATGATTTTCAAGCTAAGTAGAGCCTCTAACTTCTAAGAGGAGACAATATGTCACTTCTGCAAACCAGTAGATTTAAGAGAGTTGTGGATTTGAAATGTTGACAGCTTTGTTTGCTCAGATAGTTCCAACCCATGCATCCAAATTTCAGTCCTCTCCTATCTTGGCCCTACATTGGTGCAGGAGAGCCAATATACTCTCGGGATATAAGTCTTCCCTTCTCTAAAAATCCACTGCTGTTATGATTAAGCCCTGAGCCTGGTCCAATGCTACCAAGGAGGCTCTCTAGCTTTCACATTTTGCCTGGAATTGGCAATTTACTACCCTGAGCCAACCACTATCCTTTGATGAATCAGTGATGCTCAACCATAATCATCCCACTCCAAAATCCCTGAAGTTACAATTCCTCTTTTCTTCTCATGCACAAGACAATACACCAGTCAGCGTATCTCCTTCCACCAATATCTCACCCACTGCATCACTGGAGAAAGTTTTAACAATTACACCAGTACAACATGGGAGGGACTGTCCATATTCCACTTACAAGTAGCAATGGGGTTCTCATTGTTATTTGGTCAGTAATAATTCTTTTCTTAGAATCTATTTCCTATAACCAACTGGTTGCTATTAACTCTTAATACCAACTGCCTTCAACTTGTGCTCCATAGAAATAACCTCTGGAAGGTATTTTGAGGGATGTTCTTGGAAGACACACCTGTTAGAAAGTTAAAAAAAAAAAAAAAGGCAGGATTGGACAGAGGGAGAAGCTGGCCCCAATGAGGTTCTAACTGAGCTTCTACAGATTCTATCGTGGCACCTAGAGCTGGGATTATTTGTCAGAATTGTCTCAAAATTAATCAAGGGGGACAAGCCTATAGATTCCTAAGGAAAACAATCACTGGTTGCAGGTCTCTCTTGGCGGAAGATATAACCTTGGGTAGAGACATAACCAAGGGTGAGACAGTTCTCTGCTGCTGAAGGAAATTCCTAATGAGATAGCAACTTCAGACCGTCAGCATCTGTTATTCCCAGGAGCTGGGGGTTGAGCACATCAGCTTCATGGAGAGGATCTGGGTAGAGAACCACAGCATGTCCTATATAGGTATACATTATTTGATCTATACTATAGCTGTGTTCAACCAAGAGTATCAACCTTCATTGCTTCCACCTTGAAAAGGACCATCTTTTTTTACATGAGCGACAGAAAAGAAACTGAATCTGAGAGAGATTAGGCTTAGGCTTTTGCTTGAGTCCAAATGAGTTAGTGGCCGGCTCCATGGCTCACTTGGTTAATCCTCCGCCTATGGTGTCAGCATCCCGTGTGGGCACTGGATTCTGTCCCAGTTGCTCCTCTTCCAGTCCAGCTCTCTGCTGTGGCCCAGGAAGGCAGTGGAGAATGGCCCAGGTGCTTGGGCCCCTGCACCCACATGGGAGACCAGGAGGAAGCACCTGGCTCCTGGCTTCAGATCCATGTAGTTCCAGCCACAGCAGCCATTTGGGGGGTGAACCAACAAAAGGAAGACCTTTCTCTCTGTCTCTCTCTCTCTCTCACTGTCTAACTCTGTCAAATAAATAAATTAGTGAGTGACAGACAGCATGATCCTGTAGGTAAGTTGCATAGGTCACTATGAGTATCAAGGAGTCATGATCTTTAGTCATAGGGTCCAAGTTCCACATGGGAAGTCTCTAGATGAGCTCAGCATTTGGAATTCAATAATCTCATGAATCTCACTGCCATGGTGGCAATGGAAGTTTCTCAGACACCTGAAAGAGGGCTTCTGCTTACTTTTAAGGGGATGCCACTCATACCACACTGCCCAATCCATTCATCCAGAACAGACCTACTGTCAACACAGGGTTTCTGCTGCTCATTGCCCAGAATACTCTGCTGTCAATCCCCTGACAGTACTGATATTTGCTGTGTTGTCATGTCTTGTAGGGCACCGAAGAAGTATTAAATATCTAGAAATTTCAAGTCTCAGGCCCAACTTTATTTTCTCTTCATTTTCTGTGTGAAGCAGACATCGCAACCAGTTTCAAAGTCAGTGACATCAGCCAGTTTTCAGTCTAGGGAATGTGTTTGCAACATTATTTTTCCTGCATTGTTGTGTAATAAGATAAACTTAAGAGGTGGTCAACATACAGTACCTCAACTACTACTAGATTCTCTTTCAAAACATATAAAAATGTGAATTAGTCCCAGGGTTTACCAGAGATAAGTTTCAGTGAGTGGCCAATCCCCACTTCCAAATCATTGTGGTCAGTTTTCTTGGTTGATACTAATGATGCTCAAAACCACTCACTTGGTTGCAATGTGGACCCACTGCCCTTATTCTCATCTCCAACTCTCTGCTACACTCCAAACCCACACAGCTTGGTCCCAGATGCAGACTGTCGAGGTAGGACAGACCAGACATATGGATGGACCCCAAATGAAAATCACAGCCCAGAAGTCTCTCTTCTGATAGCATGCCAGCTCTTAACCTCTATAAGGAAATTAAATCACTCTGAGGGACAATGAGTGCCTAATAATTTTTGGTAAAGTTAATGGGCACATGCCTTAAATGGAGTGATTCTTCTGTTTCACAGGTCTGCCCAGGGTTTCTGTTTTTGTGTTGAGCTGGAAACGGATGCTGAGCAGAGCTTTCCCCGCTCTCATCTGCTGGCAGGAAACACATCATGTCTCAGCACACCAGGGGATACCCGGCGACCTGCTGAGGAGCGTGAGCTGGAGCAGTTCCTATGACAGCATGTGCCACTTTGCCTTAATAAAAATTACCAAACTAAAAACAGATGAGAGCTGCAGATGCTGAGAAACTGAGACCTATAAACAATCCCCTTTACTTGCTAATTTTTTTTTTCTTATTTGGTCAGGCTTTTTTTTTTTTTTGACTGGTTGAGCTGTGTGCACGTGTTTGTGTGTGTGTGTGTCTGTGCGTCCATGTGTTAATGAAGACTGTGACGATACTGATGTTTTGCACAAGGCTGCCTGCTAAAGAAAAAACTCCCTGGTGCAGTGACCAGACTGGATTAAATGGCAGGGTGTTCTGTTCTAGGAGAATCCACTTCATATTAGTGGTCTCCTTTGATTATTTCTGTCTTTCTCACCAGAGAGAATCGTGGGAACCCTGACTATTTTCCTGAATCTTCCTGTGTTGTGCTCATTCCTCCAGCGTTACACTCTCATTTCCTGTCATCGATCAGTCAGTAGTATTTATTCAAACCCTCTTGTAGGCTGAAAACCACCATTAGATTTTATGAAATACAAGACATAGGCAGAATGATCCCTGCCCTTGAGAAGCATACAGACTCACAGAGGAGAAACCATACACAAGCATGAAGCAACACGGCATTTATGAAAACAATAACATACCACCATGTAGAATGTCATTATAAGCTGAATGGATGGCAAGAAAACACAAGACAAAACAGAGCTGAGCAACATCCATGAAAATGGCCTTCCCAAAAAGGTAAGTTTCAAAGAAACCATACCACCAGTTCCAAATAATTCATCAAATTATCAAGGTACTTTGAGTTTACTTTCAAATTCCCTTAAGTGTTATCTTTCAAAGCTGCCTTTCCTACCTCTATCACCATCAAATCACAGAGAACTTTGCTCCTATAATATATTTAAAGGTCCTTACATGTTCTTTATGCATACTTCTCTTTCATTTTATCTTTTTAATATGTATTGTGAGGTTTTTTGTAAAAGTTAATTACTGCCATTAAACCATTGGCTTGCCCAAGAACCAATTATGGCTCCATATTGATTTTCTTTTTTTTTTTTAAAGATTTATTTTATTTATTTGAAAGAGCTACAGAGATGTAGAGACAGAGAGAAAGGTCTTCCATCCACTGTTTCACTCCCCAGATGGCCGCAACAGCTGGAACTAGAGCTTCTTCCAGGTCTCCCACGAGAGTACAGGGGCCCAAGGACTTGGGCCATCTTCTACTTCTTTCCCAGGCCATAGCAGAGAGCTGGATCAGAAGAGGAGCAGCCAGGACTAGAACTGGTGCCCATATGGGATGCCGGCACTTCAGGCCAGGGCATCAACCCGCTGCGCCACAGCGCTGGCCCCTCCACATTGACTTTCAGAAGTAGACCTACCTACCATCTACACAGAAGTCATCATCTTCAGCTAAATAATATTGGATACTGCTGTTATTGTTGTGTATAATTTCATTAACTGCTTAATGAATTGCATGAAACTTTCCTAGAGTAAATTTCATCATTCATACAGGATTCTTTGAGTCCTTTTTTTTTTTTAAAGCTTTATTTATTTATTTGAAAGAGTGAAGGGGGGCAAAATAAGAGAGAGGGAGGAAGCGAGGGAGGGAGGGAGAGAGAGAAAAAAAGAGAGAGAGAGAGAGAGAGACACGTCTTCCATCCATTGGTTCACTCCCCAAATGGCCACAACAGCCAGGGCTGTGCCCAGCTGAATCCAGAAGCCAGGAACTCCATCCTAGTCTCCCACAGGGGTGGCAGGGGCCCAGACACTTGGGCCATCTTCCACTACTTTTCCAGGAGCATTAGCAGAGAGTTTGTTAGGAAGTGAAATAGCTAGGACTCCAACCAGAGTTCTGATATAGGAGGCCAGCATTGCAAGCAGCAGCTTAAGGCATTATGCCACAGCACCAGCCCCTTGAGTCCTAAATTAAAAGAATACCTTCAGTCTATGAATATGGAGCAGGTAGAAGTAAAATAACAAATTTGGAATCATTATCCTAATGCCTGGGGGAGGTAGCAGGAATAGAATATACTTTTCAAATCTAGGTGTACCCTCTTTTCCCAGATAGCCACCATCTTAATATAAGTGAATGAGGCAACAAGCAGGAAAGATCTCAGGCTCAAAGAGCCTAATCTTTACATTAACATCATATTCTGTAACTTCTAAAGCAAAGCAAGTGACATCATCTGCCTTTTGCTCTGTAAATTTTTCTTAATTTCCAAGAGATAAAAGTGGATCTTCCCAAAGCTCTGTAGTAGTAAATAAATTAACCAAATCAGGAAGAGTGCAGAAACAGAGTTAAACCTTGTTGGAAAAGTAAGTAGCCAATTCTACCAGAAATCTAAATATGTTTAAAAAATAATTAAACAGTGTGGTGAAACAAAACATATAAAGTTAAAAATAAATCAAAACAAATAAAGTTAAAATAGATCTAATTATCTAGAAATTTAAACCTTGTTGGAAAAGTAAGTAATGAGGTGGGACCAATTTTACCAGAAATCTAAATATGTAAAAAAATAATAATAACAGTTAAACAGTGTGGTGAAGCAAAACATAAAATTTGAAAAATAGATCTAATTACCTGGAAATTTAGTGTGTAATGGAAGACATCATTAACTAGTAACGGATAGATGGTGATCAGATGGACAGTCACTTTGGGGAGAAAATTACATGCTTTCCTATCTCATTTATAATTTCAAAACAAAATTCAGATAAATATAAAATTTATATTATATTTTTAAAATCTGAGATGAAAAGGTGAAATATTATTTTACAAAACAGAATGGGCTGGGCAATTGGTCTAGCAATTAGGATGCAAGTTAGGACTCACAGATACCATAATGGAGAACTGAGTCAAGTCCCAGCTCCAGTTCCCAACTTCAGTTTCTTCCTTATGCAGACTCTGGGAGGCAACAGGTAATGGCTCAAGTAGTTGGGTCCCTGCCACCCACATGGGATACCTGGATTGAGTTCCTGGCTGCCGACTCCATCTCTGGCTCAGCCTCAGGTACTAAGGGAATTTGGGAAGTGAACTAGTGAAGTAAAGCGCTCTCTCTCTCTCTCTCTCTCCCCTCCCTTCCCCTCCCCTCTTCAAATAAATTAAATAAATGCTTTTTTTTAATAATGAAGAAATATCAATCAAACAAAAAGCTGATTCTTTGAAAAGAACAGTAAAGTCAACAGAACATTAGCAAAAGTGTCACTAAAAAAGACAGAATGCTCATATCTCCAATGCCAGGAATGAAAAGTGCAGATATAAAAAAAAAGAGAATAAAAAAAAATACTATGAACAACTCTAAACACAAATTTGACAACTCGGATGAAGTAGAGCAATTCCTTGAAAAGCATACACTTCCGTAACTCACCAAGTACGAAACACAAGAATATGAAGAAGCAAAAAGTTCTGTAACTAATAGGAAAATTGAATTTATAATTTTAAAACTCCCAAAAAAGAAGTATCCAAATCCAGATGGTTTCACTGGACAGTCTGTCAAATGTTTAAAGAATTAACAGCATCTCCATACAATCTCCTTCAGAAATTAAAAGAGGAGGAATCTCCTTCCAATTCATACGATAAACTGATACCAAAGCCAGACCAAAAGGTATGAGAAACTTACACACCACTATGTCTTCTGAACATAGGCCTAAAAATCCTTAACAAAAAAATTATCAAACAGAATTCAGCAATATCTAAAATGAACTATATACCATATCCAAGTGAGTTTATTCTAGAAAGTAAATATTTGTCGCTCTCCCATTCACGGAGGAACGACACTGGACCCTGCGCTGTTCTTTTGTCTGCTCGGCCCTTCCCGGGTTTGCTGCTGGTTCTTCCCGGGTTGGCTGGCAACCCCTCCTAGGTTTCCTATCCGAGTCACGGCACCACTTGCTGCTCCTCTGCATGCGGAGGAGCCGCACCAGACTGGACGCTTGTTGTTCCCCTTTTACAAGTCTTTTCTATAGTAAAGTAAGAATAAGCAAACAGTGAACTTCCAAAGCAAGAATGAGTAGAGAGGAATGAGAAAGAACGAAGCAACGAAGCAACGAACTTCCCCGCGAACTCTCCAACGCACTCTCCAACCAACCCCCAACACCGTGCCGTCTCTCTCCTCTTTTATAGTCCTCTTCCACCGATCCCAACTCTGATACCCACACACCGAGTACGCTGCTCTCCTCCAATCAGGAGCAGGATCAGCTCCTGCAGGTTATTGGTCGAACTGGAGGCAGCTGTGTAGAAGTTGTTTACTCCTCTCCCAGCGCCATATTGTGGAAGAGCAGATGCATAGAATAAGTCTTAATTTCAGTAACTTAGTCTAGTCCGAGTTGCTTCCCACAAATATTGCTCGATATTTGAAAACCTTTCTATATAATTCACTGTATTAACAGGCTTTAGGGGAAAAACATGATCATCTATGGCAGAAAAAAAGCATTTGATAAAATTCAATATGCAAGGGGGCAGTATTGTGGCATTGCAGGTAAAGTCCCTGCCTGCAATGCCGGCATCCCATATGGGTGCCAATTTGAGTCCCAGCTGCTCTACTTCTGACCCAGCTCTCTGCTATGGCCTGGGAAAGCAGTGGAAGATGGCCCAGGTCCTTGGGCTCCTGCCCCTGCAAGGGAAACCAGAAAGAAGCTCCTGGTTCCTGGCTTTGGATCAGCGCAGCTCTGGCCATTGTGGTCAACTGGGGAGTGAACCAGTGAATAGAAGACCTCTCTTTCTGCCTCCCCTTCTCTCTGTGTTTAACTCTTTCAAATAAATAAATAATCTTTTAAAAAATTCAATATGCATTCATGATTAAAAATATTCAGAAAACTAGGGGGGGCCAGCACTGTGGCTCAGCAGGTTAGTGCCCTGGCCTGAAGCGCCAGAATCCCATATGGGCTCTGGTTCTAGTCCTGGCTGCTTCTCTTCCGATCCAGCTCTCTGCTATGGCCCAGAATAGCAGTAGAAAATGGCCCAAGTCTTTGGGCCCCTGTGCCCACGTTGGAGACCCGGAAAAAGCTCCTGGCTCCTGGCTTGGGATCAGCGCAGCTCTGGCCATTGCAGCCATCTGGGGGAGTGAAACATAGACCTAAAAGACCTTTCTCTATGTCTCTACCTCTCTCTGTAACTCTGTCTTTCAAATAAATAAAATAAATCTTTTAAAAAAATATTCAGAAAACTAGGAATGGAGGGGAATTTCCTAAACATGATAAAGACCACCTAAAGAAACCATTAGCTAATATCATTTTTATTGTGCAAAAATAAATTCTTTCCTTTTAAAGTTCAAAAAAATACAAAAGATAAGTATTAAGTCAAGCTGGTACTGGAAGTTCTAGCCACTGAATATGGCAAGAAAAATTAATAAAATCTATTCAGATTGGAATACAAAAAATAAAATTCTGCCTGTTTGCAAATAATATGATTATTGTCCATGTACAAAACCCCAGGAAATCCACTCCCCTAATATCCTAAAACTAAAGAACAGATAGATAAACATGTAAAAATCAATTATACTTCTATTTACCAGCAATGAACACATTGACACAGAAATTATAAAAATGCTATTTTAAACAACTCAGAAAAAAATACTTAAATGTAAATCTAACAAAACATTTATAGAATTTGTGTGCTGAAACTATACCTATCAATGAAATAAATCAAAGATCTGAAACACATACCATGGTCCTAGGTTGGAAGAGTCAACAAAGTAAACATGTTACTTTTCCCCAAATGAATCCAAAAGTATAATGTCATTCTAATGAAATCTATCCAAGTTTCTTTTGTTAGATATATAAGGTTATACTAAAATTTACATGAGAAAGCAAAGAAACTAGCATAGTTAAAAATAATTTTGTAAAAAGAAGGAAAAGTGTGAGGAACCAGTTCATGCAATTTGAAGATGATTATACAGCTGTATAAATCAAGATGATATGGTCTTTGTGGAATGATAGACAATGGATGGAACAGATCAATGGAACAGAATAAGTAAACCAGAACAGACTCACACATCCCAACTCATTTCTTAAAATGGTGCAGGTGCAACTCAGTGGAGCAAGAACTGCTTTTCAACAAAAGGTGGTAGAGCAGTTGAACACAGGCCAAATAAATAAATAAAAAGAATCCCAGCCTACACCTCATAGCTAACATGAAAATTTACTCAAAACATAAATTAAAAACTATAAAATTTTATTTAAAGACATAAAAGAAAATCCTTTGGTATTTAGGCTTAAGTTATTAGTCTTGACATCAAAATTAGTTCTTAGACTTGACATCAAAAGCAAAATACTCAAAACTAAAAACTGACAAATTGAACTTCATTAAAATTAAATTTTTGTTTTTTAAGAAAATGAAAATACAAGCTATAGATGGGATGAAAATATTTGCAACTCATTTATCTGACATAGGACCAGTATACAGAATAAACAGAACTCAAAACTCAACATTTTAAGAGAAAAAAAGTTCAATTAGAAAATGGGGAAAAGATAGGAACAATTACTTCACTAGTAGGATACACAATGGAAAATAAGCAAATGATTAGATGTTCAGTATCACTAGCCATCAGGCAAATGAAAACCAGAGTGAGAGCTCACTGTATACCTCACACAGTGGGTAAAATAAAAAATAAAATAAAAACAGTGTCCACATCAAATGAATGCAGAGAAACCAGACCACTCATACATTCCTGATGAGAATGTAAAATAATATAGCCACTCTGAAAATAGCTAGGTAGTTTCTAAAAACAAAACAAAACCAAACCAAAAAAAAGCACTTGCTATATGAACCATGAATTGCATTCTTGAGTATTTATTTTCAAGAACTGAAAATATAAAAACCTACACATAAATGTTCATAGCAGCTTTTTGTAACATTCCAGATGCTGTTAACAACCCAGCTGTCTTTCAGTGGATGAATGTTCAAACTAACTGTGCTACATCTCTACCATGGAATATTACTGAGCAATAAAAAGGGAAAAAACCTGATAATACACAAAGCAACATGGATCAAGCTGCAGAGAATTATGGTGAGTGAGGCAGGGAAACAAATCTTGAAAGATTACAAACTTTGATTCCATTTATATAACATTTGTACAGTACAAAATTCCAGAGATGAGGAACAGATTTCTGGTAGCCAGGAGGTAAGGACGGGTTGGAGACAGGAGGGTCCTTGTGGTGAAGGCAGAGTCCTGCATCTTGACCACACCCATGTCAATGCCCTGCTTGTGATGCCAGTTGAATGGTGATTCTGCAAGATGCTACTACCATTGGAGGAAGTGCTAAAGGATACATGGGACTTCCCTATATTATTTCTTCAAACTGCATTTTTTAAAGATTTATTTTATTTATATGAAAGAGAGTTACAGAGCAGGTAGAGCCAGAGAGAGAGAAAGAGGGAGAAAGAGGGGGAGAGGTCTTCCATCCGCTGGTCCACTCCCCAAATGACCGCAATGGCCAGAGCTGAGCTGATCCGAAGCCAAGAGCCAGGAGCCTCCTCTGGGTCTCCCACACGGGTGCAGGCATCCAAGGACTTGGGGTATCTTCTACTGCTTTCCTGGGCCATAGCAGAGAGCTGGACCAGAAGTGGAGCAGCCAGGACTTGAACCGGCACCCACATGGGATGCCGGCACTGCAGGCAGCGGCCTTAACCCACTGCGCCACAGCACCAGCCCCCAAACTGCATTTTAATATATAGTTACATCAAAATTAAAGCTTATTTTTAAAAAATTGAGAAAATCATTATCACTATGAAGTAAAGCATAGAAGCCACAGAAGAAAAGGTTGATAAATTGAACATCATAAAAATTAAAAGGGATAGGTGTTGTGTCCCAATGTATTAAGCTGCCATTTGGGACACACATATCGGAGCATATCAGAGTGCCTGCCTCTGCTTCCCGTCCAGCTTCCTGTTAATGAACCTGGGAGGCAGTTCATGATGGCTATAGTGCTTGGGGTCCTGTCACCCATGTGGAAGACCCTGTTGGTTTTCCTGGCTCCTGGCTTCAGCCTGGCCCAGCTCTGGCTATTGCAGGCATTTGGTGAATAAGTCATCAGATGAAAGACTGATTCTCTCTCTCTCTCTCTCTTTCTCACTTTCAAATAAATATATTGAAAAAGATACTTGCCAAGCCGACAAGAGAATAAAAAAAAAAAAAACCTGGAGGTAAATTTTGGCAATACATAACTATGACAAAGTGTGCCAACCTAAAATAAATTTCCCACTAAAAAAATCCCAGTTCTGTTTGGAGCAGATATGTGCTTCTTCAGGCCCTTTTTCTTTAAGAGGTGGATATATGTGCAGTCCAGTCAATAAAATGTACACAAGTCCCTTGGAAAGATCCCCTCTCATAAAAAGACAAAATCTAAAAGAAAAAAATACTTCTGCTTTCTTCCTGCATGGAACTTGTCTCAATGCTTGGAGGATTGTGGTCATCTTGTGATACACAATGAAGACAATTTGCTGAGATATAAAGAGATCACACCAGTACAGCTGAGTTTTCTCAGTTAGTAGAAGAGAAAAGGACCATGTAAGTTCTTTCAGTCATCCAGTTGGAATTGTTTCAGCTCTGAGGAGAGGAAAATTACCCATAAAACATGATGAAATGCAATAACAAGGCATAAAACTCATTCCAATTACGGAGCAAGCAGAGGTAGACTAAAACTACAGAGCTATGTGAGAGCAAACAACATGCTTATATCTAGAACACGAAAGCCCCAACTCTGACTTCAGCAGTCTGATTTACTAGTCTTTGACTTGTACTTCTTTCTTGACTTTAACAGAACTGGTTCATTTCTGCATTTTACTACATGTAATCACAGTCTACATATACCAGCAAGATTTAAAAGATAATATCCATTACTTAGAGAACAACTTCAAGGAATACAGAAACTGGTCTATTATTGTTACCCATCATTTCTGGTCTCTTCCATTTTGGCCACCAGTTTGAAGTAATTTAATGGGCCCTACAAAATCCATGGCTTGCCTGAAATTAGTCAAGCCTCTATTGTGCATGTCTGAGGCCTCCCTAGCACATTTTCCAGGAATCGAAACCTCTGAGGTGTTTTCTACTGCAGTTCTTTTTTTTTTTTTTTAAGATTTATTTATTTATTTGAAAGTCAGAGTTACACAGAGAGAGGAGAAGCAGAGAGAGAGAGCGGTCTTCCATTCAATGGTTCACTCCCCAATTGGCTGCAACAGCCGGAGCTGTGCCGATCCAAAGCCAGGAGCCAGGAGCTTCTTCTGGGTCTTCCACATGGGTACAGGAGCCCAAGACCTGGGCCATCTTCTACTGCTTTCCCAGACCATAGCAGAGAACGGGATTGGAAGTGGAGCAGCCGGGTCTCGAACCAGCGCCCATATGGGATGCCAGCGCTTCAGTCCAGGGCATTAACCCAGTTCCACAGTGCTGGCCCCTCTACTGTGGTTCTAATAGCTCTGGGAAAATAACTATATATGGATTGTTTTCTGTCTATTCCAAAGACAGCTTTATCCCTTTCTGATTCCTTTAATACTCACTGAGACAATTGGTTCTGCTTCAGTTTTCCCCTTTGTGGTCGGAGGCCCCAGAAGAAAGAATATGAGTTGTCTTATTCAGTGTTTTCCAGGTAACTCACCTAGCAAGCCTTTCACATACTGCGCACATTTCTTCTGGTCCCTGTCCTTCCAGCACTCTGAGCACTGACCTTGGGAGAAGTCCCTCCTCTTCCTTATAGAATACTCACTCCACACCTCCTGGAGCAGTACAATCATTTTCACATTCACAATGAAGAGATTTGATGTGTCCAAAATTTTAGTCAATAACAGAACTTTAATTATTTTTTAGTTAACCAGAACACATAAGATTTTTAAATGGAGGGGCTGACGCCATGGCTCACTAGGCTAATCCTCCGCCTGCAGCACCGGCATCCCATGTAGGTGCTGTGTTCTATTCCCGGTTGCTCCTCTTCCAGACCAGCTCTCTGCTGTGGCCTGGGAAAGCAGTGGAGGATGGCCCAGGTGCTTGGGCCCCTGCACCCCCATGGGAGACCAGGAGGAAGCACCTGGCTCCTGGCTTCAGATTGGCGCATCTCTGGCCGTTGCAGCCACTAGGGCCGCCTTCCAATGGAAGGAAGACCTTTCTCTCTGTCTCTCTCTTTCTCTCACTGTCTGTAATTCTGCCTGTCAAATAAATAAATAAAAATCTTAAAAAAAGATTTTTAAATGGATATATGGAAACAGATTTATAGAGTTAAACTGGGAAACAAATTTGATGTAATATGTAATTTTAAAGAAAGTAAACTAGCCAGGTTAAAATCAGTCAGAAATTTTGCAGCAGCATCAAAAGAAAGTATTTTATCTGTATTATTTTTTCTTGCAAGATATTAAACACATATTTCAAATGTGTATCTTCACTTTGGAATAACAGAGCTATCAGGCAAGTCTTCCTAGGGCAATAGCACATGTTTTTCTCTTATGAGCTGAGTTCCAAAAAACAACTTTCATGAAATCAGTATATGAAAGAGTTGCCTGCACTCCCACACATATAACAGCTCAATTCACAATAGCTAAGATATGGAATCAACCTAGATACCCATCAACTGATGACTGGATAAAGAAAATTCAATACATATACATGATGTAATATTACTCAGCCATAAAAAGAATGAAATCCTGAAATTTAGAACCAAATAGATACAACTAGAAATCACTATGATACATGAAATAAGCCAGAACCAAAAAGACAAATATGACATGCTTTCTCTTATCTTTGGTAGTTAACATATAGAAAGATAATAAAAATTGTGTGGGCATCATATCACCTGGTATTAGTTATAAATATTGCTTCACTGAATCAATATCACTCAACTGACAATATACTTTTCTTTCCCACATTAATAAATTAATCTTTAGGGGGCCGGCACTGTGGCGCAGTTGGTTAACACCCTGGCCTGAAGCGACAGCATCCCATATTGGTGCCGGTTCTAGTCCCAGCTGCTCCACTTCCGATCCAGCTCTCTCCTATGGCCTGGGAAAGCAGTAGAAGATGGCCCAAATCCTTGGGCTCCTGCACCCACGTGGGAGACCCATAAGAAGCTCCTGGCTCCTGGCACAGCTCCGGCAGTTGCAACCATCTGGGGAGTGAACCATCAGACGGAAGACCTCTCTCTCTTTCTCTCTCTGCCTCTCCTCTCTCTGTGTAACTCTTTCAAATAAATAAATAAATCTTTAAAAAATAAAAAATTAATCTTTAAAAAGGGGGAAGAGCATCTCTGTGGCATACCAGATTAAGTGGCTGCTGCATCACCATCATACCCTGTGAGTGCTGGTTGGAGTCTTGTCTGCTCCACTTCCAATCCAGCTCCCTGCTAATAGCCTAGGAAAGCATCAGAGGATGGCCCAAGTTTTTGGGCCCCTCCACCCATGAGGAAGACCTAGAAGAAGTTCCTGGCTCCTGGCTTCAGCCTGGCACAGCCCTGGCCGTTGGACCATCTGGGGAGTGAACCAGCAGATGGAAGATTCTCTCCTATTCTGTCTGTCTCTCTCTCTCTAACTTTCAAATAAATAAATAAATAAATCTATCTTTAAAAAATTAATGGAGGGGGGAAAACTGAAGACTCTTGGAGTACTAGTAATGTTGTGGTCTCAATTTGGGTATTGCTATAAGTATGATCAGAGAGAAAAAACCTGATTTATCTGTACACATTTATGCATTTCTTGGTATGTATACCATATTTCAATAAAATATTAGAAAAAGAAAACTTTTAGATTTGTATAAATATATAAAGTATATTTTAGATTTTTTAATTTATTTTCATTACTAATATAATATTACTTCTATGTTAATTATTAGAATATAATTTTGCAATTATATTATCTTCAAGTTTTGAAGGAATTCTTTTGGCGTATTTTGTTTACTTGCTTACTTACTTAATTCCTGAACCTTCAACAAGATATTATTGTATTTTTGACTCTGGACAATAAGTATGTTCAGCAAACAAATCATCCTGTTTATGTGCTTATGAGGCTGGCTGTGTAAGGTAACCTTGCCAAGGAACTGATCATCGCAGAAATGACATTTTGCAAACAGAGACTCTCACAAGATCAGAATTTCTCAGAGTCTATCTGTGTGACAAAAATAAGCAAGAGGCAGACCAAAACTTTTAATGTGAAACACAAAGAAGTAACAATAATTTAAGCAGGATGAATGCATCCATGGTTTTTCTGGGAAGGAGGGATTCCCACCACCATCATGCTCAAGTCCTCTGGACTCAACAGCTGTAATGACTGAGAGCTCTCAAGGCAGTTCCTGCTTATCTCACCTTAACTGAATTTTTAAATTCCCATCCTTGCTCTAGGATCATGATGACATGCACTTCATTTTATTTCTGTTGCCTCATATTAATAGCTTATTCATCATTGTAGATATGTGCTATAAATATTTTATACTCTGGCATTTATGAAACAATGTTGTTTTCAAGTAGAATGACTCAGGGTTTGAATGCCAGAATGAGCTAAAAATACTCCAATCTTATAGAGTAAAGGTTGTCAAAACCTGGTTTTTTAAAAGACTTATTTATTTATTTGAAAAGGAGAGAAAGAAAGAGAGAGAGAGAGAGAGAGAGTGAGCGATCTCGCAATCTTCCATTTACTGACTCAATCCCCAAATGGCCACAATGGCCAGGGCTGGGCCAGGCCAATGCCAAGAGCCTGCAACTGCATCAGGGTCACCCACATGGGTGCAGGGGTCAAAATACTTGAGCCATCTTCTGCTGCTTTCCCTTGCGCATCAGCGGAGAACTAGATGGCAGCAGAGCAGCTCATTTGGGATTCTGGTGTCACAAGTGGTGGCTTATGATTCTGCCACGATGCCAGCTCCATCACCATTCTTGAGATTAAAATTTATGATGTAATAATAGAAAGTACAACTTAGTATCAGAGGGGAGTCTGGAGCTCAGGCCCTCACAGCACAGAGAAGAAACCCACAGACCGCAGAGGGTATAGAACTTTCCTGAGGTCACAGAGTTAATCAAGGAGCAAGCAGAGGTCACCAGCTCCAGGATACAGCCCATTAACACACCATATCTGGTCCTCTATGGCCTTAGGAGTGTTTATCTTATGTCCTCGTTAGAACCACAGCAGCCGGATCACAGGACCCATGTATTGCTCTTCCCCCTCATTTCTTCTACAGCATGCTGTATTCATTAGATTCTTATTTCATATGTTTGGAGCTATTAATATTCCAAAAAATGCTTGTTATTTATTACCCCAATCAAGCTTTCACTAGGATTTTAACCTATAACACTTTGCTCTAATTTTTCAGTCATTTGCATGTCCAAGTAGTTTTAAAAATTCCCAGCCCCAACAAAGACCACCAGCTACATGTCCCTACGCACAGTGATTTTTAAATAAGGACTCAGTGCACAGGAACAAGTGGCAATGTTTACTTCAAGTGGAAAGTGTTGATTTTATTCTCACAATATATATTTCCAAAGGTGAGAAAACTCCATAAATAGGCAATTTTGGGAAACACTCTCAAGGTTTAACTTCAGGTGTAGGTTGGAAAAGTAGTAGAGGGTGGAGAAGTTCCTTTGTTTCCATCCAACACAAACATCACACTGGAATTGACTGAGGGACATGGCATGTTTACGGATTTGTCACCACAGCACTGTGCTCTATGGGAAAGGAAATACTAGAAGGATTCACTGAGGCCTTTCAACTCTATGATCTATGACATGAGGACAACTCTTCTAACTGGTTTGTGGTGATCATGATGCATGATGTCACCATCAAAGTTCACTGGGCTTGAAATGCCAGAAACTTGACATATACTGCATCCTTTTTCACATGTTCCAGTTCCAAGTCAAGCTTCATGGCAAATGCCAGAATATGCTGTTATTAGGAAGTTCCCTCTACCAGTGGATGGGGAGCAGATCTTAAACAGTGACTACACGCCAGGAGGCAAATATACTTTCTAGACTGAACCATCACTCCTGAAAAACAATATCACCATCTTAAGTAAAGAATTGTGCCATTACTTTTTTAATCTTCTCTTTTGGTCAAATGCAAGTATATAAAAAAGTTACAAAAATGTATAGAGCAAGGAACTTCCATACATCCTTTACTGAAATTTACTCATTGTTTTTATATATATATATATATATATATATATATATATATATATTCCTATTTATCTTTTATTCTCTCAACCATTTGTGGACTTCAGACATCATGTCCCTTTATCTTAAACTCTTCAGTATTGCATTTCCTAAGAGCAAGGCCATCCTCTTACATAACCAGGGGAGACTTAATATCAGAATCATATGTTAACTAATTGTAGTTATCCTTTGAAACATAAAATGCTGATTTTATATGATTCTTTTTTTTTTTTTGACAGGCAGAGTTAGACAGTGAGAGAGAGAGAGATACAGAGAGAAAGGTCTTCCTTTTTCCATTGCTTCACCCCCCAAATGGACACTGCGGCCGGGATGCTGCGCCAATCTGAAGCCAGGAGCCAGGTGCTTCCTCCTGGTCTCCCATGCAGATGCAGGGTCCAAGCACTTGGGCCATCCTCCACTGCACTCCCAGGCCACAGCAGAGAGCTGGACTGGAAGAGGAACAACCAGGACAGAATCTGGCGCCCCAACTGGGACTAGAACCCTGGGGTGCGGGCACCACAGGCGGAGGATTAGCCAAATGAGCCGCTGCGTCGGCCATTATATGATTCTTGAAATCAGTGAAATTTAAAATCATGATGGTTCTTAAATGGGATTGTTCAATTGATTGATCCTTAGTGTCATTCACTTTCCTAAACAACATGCCTAGCAAATTATAATTTAAGTCAGAGCTAAGAGCTGGTGCCTGTGTAGACATATGTGGGGACTTCAAAAAGTTTGTATAAAAATGGAATTAAAAGACAAGTTTATTTTTATGCAAAAAAAATTGCAATCATGCATTTTCTATGAACATTTTATTTAATTAAAAAAAAATTTGAGAGGCCAGGCAACAGAGAGAGAAAGAAACAGTTCCCATTGGCTACATCACTCCCAAAATACCCACAACAGCCCAGCTGGGAACTCAATCCAGGTCTCCCACATGAATAGCAGGAATTCAATTATTTGAGCCATTTTCATTGCCTCCTAGAGACTGAATTATCAGGAAGCTGGAATCAGGGGCCAGAACCAGGTATTGAACATGGGATGCAGGTATCTTAAGTGTTGTCTTAACTGCTAGGCCAAATGTCCACCCCTCCATGAACATTTTGCCAACCCTTCATTCATCACTGTGTGCTCTGAGAATGCCTTACTGGTCCTGGACCAACCACTACAACTAATTAACAGATCTCAGAATACTGGGAAAAGTTGTATAATAACATGAGGGTCAAATCTTATTGAATCATTGGAAAAATGTTAGCATAATGATACACTTGATTATCCTGCTCACATTTTTTAAAGTAGGTAAAACTGAATAAGAAAGGTAGTAATTAAATGGGAAGTAAGAAAGATAGGAATAAAGTGATTTACAGCAGTCAGAATTGAGTATCAACTCAGAATTAATTTCACTTAGAAACTCAGCAGGACTCTTTTTTACAAATTCCAGCATTTATACACTACATATTTATTTATACCAATACAGTATGCTTAATTTCATTTATGCAGCTGCCCAGGGCTGACCAGTTTATCAAATATTCTTCATATTATTATTTAAAATATGCCTAAATTTAGGCATAAACACAATCCTAGAAGCAGTATTTTCACTTATGTCCTATCTTGTTCCAAAACTTTATGAATCTTATACAAATAAACAAAATATAACAAGAAATGGTTAATTTCAGATTTATTTAATTAGAGGGGCTGGCACTGTGGCACAGAGGGAAGTGCTGGCATCCCCAGTTCGAAACCCGGCAGTTCCACTTCCAATCCAGCTCTGTGCTATGGCCTGAGAAAGCAGTAGATGATGGCCCAAGTCCTTGGGCCCCTGCACCCACGTGGGAGACCTGGAAGAAGCTCCTAGCTCCTGGCTTCAGATAGGCACAGCTCTTGCCGTTGCAGCCAATTGGGGAGTGAACCATCGGATGGAAGACCTCTCTCTCTCTCTCTCTGCCTCTCTGTAACACTGCCTTTCAAATAAATAAATAAATCTTTTAAAAAAAGAATTATTTAATTAAGGGAAAAAAAACCTGACAAAGTTAAGATACAACCCAAAGTGAAGTTTGGGTCCCTTCTGAGCTTCATGTTTAGCATATAGTAGGGACTCAATAATTACTTGCTAATTATAAAATATGTGTTTTCCACAAACCAGATTCAGTTTTTAGGGACAAATATATATATTTATATTTATATTTATATATTTATATTTATTTTGTATCTATTTAAAATATATACAAATGCATTTATATAAAATATATACATATATTATACATACAAATATATATTATATATAAAATATATTATATATACAAAATATATATAATATATATATTTATCCCTAAAAACTGAAATCATATATATGTGAATATATATATGATTTCACTTAATCTTCACATTCACCCTGGAGGTAAGTTTGATTATTGTTCCCATTGTATACATGTTTATAATGAGTTTCAAAGAGGCCAACTTATCAATAGCAGGAAAGTTGGGCTACACACCCAAAGTCAATAGCAGGAAAGTTGTGGCTACACACATTTTAACCACAGCACCATGAAGCCTCCCACATCAGTTCTCAAGGATATCTGCTCATGAAAAAGCCAGTAGAGGACACAGAAGGCCATCTTACCATTGCCTCATATTTGTTGAATGGAATAAAGAATAAATGAATATGATTGCACCCCCCCAATTCTTCCTAAGCTTTCTAACATTCAAAACAAAAGAGGAGACAATTTCAATTTTATGATTCATGGTGTCTTTCAGAAAAAAAGCAAGCCAATTTCTTGGAAGAAGCATAAACAGCCATTTATAGTTTCTTAGTGCATACAAGATCAGAAGGCATAATGGAAATCATAAAAATGGAAATGGCAAGTGTACACAGAAATGTAAGTGGGTATATATTCATTAATTATGGATAATTTCAAACTAACATTAGAATAGAATAGCATATTGAACCCCCATTTATTCATCACCCAACTCAACCACTACTAATTCAAGGCAAATCTTGTTTTTCTCACACCCATCCCCAACATATAACTTGAAGAAAATTCCAGATACATTATTTCATTATTTAATATTTCACTATGGATCTCTGAAATATAAACTCTATATTTTTATTTTTTAAAAAAATTTTATTTATTTACTTGAGAGGTAGAGTTACAGACAGAGGGAGAGACAGAGAGAAAGACCTTCCTTCCACTGGTTCACTCCCCAAATGGTCTCAATGGCCAGAGCTGCACCAATCCAAAGTCAGGAGCCAGGAGCTTCTTCCTGGTCTCCCACGTGGGTGCAGGGGTCCAAGAACTTGGGCGATCTACTGCTTTCCCAGGCCACAGGAGAGAGCTGGATTGGAAGAGGAGTAACCAGGACTAGAATCAGCGCCCATATGGGATGCCAGTGCCGCAGGCGGAAGGTTAACCTACTGCGCCACAGCTCTGGCTTCAAAGTAGCAATATTACAAGTTCTAGAAATTAGCACGTGAACTTCATTGGGAGGCCATTATTCTACATACTACAGTCATTTTCTTCTTGGTAGTTTTGATAACTTGACAGAAATAAACCCTATTACAAGCTTCTACTATATGGGTTGCCAGCGCCACAGAGGGAGCATTAACCCACTGTGCCACAGTGCAACCCCCCACCCCGTTTTTTTAAAAGATTTTATTTATTTATTTATTTAAAAGTATATTTTTCTTAATGTAACCACAATAACACAACCACATCTAAAAACACAATAAGAACTACTTTATATTTACTCAGGGTCTAATTTGGAATCAACTTTTGAGATTTTTCATTTTTAAAAACTTGTTTACTTATTTAAATCAGGACCCAAATAAAGTCCACTTTGAAGTCCACTGCAATGATAACCACTTCTTTTAATACACAGAAATGAGTTCATTTAACTTCAACATATAATAGAAAGTGCATTAGTCTATAGGTAAGAAGTCATGCGTCAGAAAAGAGGGGAGGGGCCAGCGCTGTAGCCTAACGAGTAAAGCCGCTGCCTGCAGTGCTGGCATCCCATATGGGCACTGGTTGTAGTCCCAGCTGCTGCACTTCCGACCCAGCTCTCTGCTATGGCCTGGGAAAGCAGCAGGAGATGTCCCAAGTTCTTGGTCTCCTGCACCCATATGGAAGACCCGGAAGAAGCTCCTGGCTTATTGCAACTCTGGCCGTTGAGGCCATCTGGGGAGTGAACCAGTGATGGAATACCTCTCTCTCTCTCTGTCTCTGCCTCTGCTTCTCTCTAACTCTGCCTTTCAAATAAATAAATAAATCTTTAAAAAAATAAAATAAAAGAGGGGATTTGGGTCTGGTTTTATCTGCTTGACTCTGAACAAGTCACGATCCTGTGTCTATAAAATGAAGGGGTTGCAAGGTGATTTTTCAGAGCTTCCTTCAACATGATAGTGACTATTCACCTAAACATTCTACTGTATAAATGAAAGCCTCAGGATCAGAGAGTTAAGTGGATCACAGACAATAATTTTATATGATTCATCAACTTAATCATAAATAATATCTCAAGAATCATAAGGCAACATCCCTTGAATTACTTGAAATCCTGTGATTGCTTCTTCGATGACTAACTTCACTTTCAGGTTTCTGTACCCCCCTGATTATTATCAGAGCCAATTTCCTATAGAACCAGTTCCTTTGATTATTCATTATACAAATAATGCATAGTTTCAGCCTTACCATGGATCTCTTTCCCTGATGTTAACTTAGCAGGCTGGTAAAGATGAGCTGGGAAAAGGGGCAAGAAAAATATTACTGACCCCCTATGTGTGCCAGGCAAGTACTAATCATTTGTCACCAGTGGCCTTATTTGCTCTCCAGGGAGATTAGGTGAGATGGCCAAAAAGGAATCTGAACCCAATAACACTCTTCCAAAACCCATGTTCTGTTCTTGCATAGAAAATAGAAATAATATTCTCAATTGCAGAGCAATGTTGTAAGGATTAAATGAATAAGAGAATTATTCTTAAGTGCTTTGTAAAACATAAAGTGTTCTGCTCACGTAGAGCGGAGTACATGTGTTCCTACATAATATTTTATTTGAGGGTGGGCATTTGGCTCAGTGATTGAGACACTACTTGGGATGCCTGCATCTTTTATCAAGGTGCCTAAGTTTGAGTCATGTTGTTTCTGACTCAAGTTATCTGCTAGTGTGTAGGCAGTAAATGATGGGTACCCATGATTTGCATGGAAGATCTGGAATGGGTTCTAGGTCCCTGACTGAGCCTGACCCAACCCCAGCTTTTGAGGGCTTTTGTAGAGAAAAAAAGCAGATAGAAGATTCCCCTACTCTCTCTTTCCCTCCTTCTCTCTCTCCCCCTTTTAAATATCAAATTTTTCAAAGATTTATTTTATTTCCTTGAAAGGTACATTTATAGAGGGGAGGTGGAGACAGAGAGAAAGGTATTCCATCTACTGGTTCACTCCCCAAATGGCTGAAATGGTACAGGCTGGGCCAGGCCAAGGCCAGGAGCCAGGACCTTCTTCCAAATCTCACACATGGAAACAGGAGCCCAAGCACTTGGGCCATACTCTGTTGCTTTTCCAGGGGCATTAGCAGAAAGTTTAATAATAAATTTTTTAAAAGAATATTTTACTTGCAACTTTTTTTTTTGACAGGCAGAGTTAGAGAGAGAGAGAGAAAGGTCTTCCTTTTTCTATTGGTTCACCCCTCAGTGGCCGCTGCGGCCAGGCACCATGCTGATCCAAAGCCAGGAGCCAGGTGCCTTCTCCTCGTCTCCCATGTGGGTGCAGGGCCCGGGCCACAGCAGAGAGCTGCACTGGAAGAGGAGCAACTGGGACAGAATCCGGCGCCCCGACCGGGACTAGAACCCAGGGTGCCGGCGCCGCAGGCAGAGGATTAGCCTATTGAGCCACGGCACTGGCCTACTTGTAACTTTTAAGAAGTCTAGCTTTTGTGCTGGTGCTGTGGCATAGTATGTTAAACTTCCTCCTGCAGTGCCCACATCCCACATGGGCATCAGTTCACATCTTGGCTGCTCCTCTTCTGATTGAGCTCTCACTTACAGTCTGGAAAAGCATTAAAAGATGGCTCAAGTGCTTGGAACTATGCACCTTGTGGGGGACCTGGAAGACACTCCTGGTTCCTGGCTTTAGATCAGCCCAGCTACAGCCATTGCAGCCATTTGGGGAGTGAACCAGCGATGGAAGATTCTTCTGTCTCCCTTTCTCTGTCTGTAGCTCTACCTCTCAAATAAATAAATAAATAAATGAGAAGTCTAGCTTCAACATTAGTATCCAATTGCTTTTGTGTGCTTCCTAATAGTCTTGAAAATACACTGGAACAATCTTATATTACAATTTTTTATCCCTTCCACATGTATCTCCACCCACAAACAAATGTCCTGAACTCTATATGTCTTCTAGTTTTCCCAGGACTGCCGAGTACTTTAGAGAAAGAGAAGCCACATCAATTGTTACACAGAGCCAAAGGAGCATATAGCAAGAGACACTCAAGAAGGCACATTCCCAAACACTTGATTGTGTTAAAATCATCACCGTTTGCTTTCCCTCCAAACTGACTTTTCTATACAAACAACTAGTTACTGGCTAATCTACAATTTCAGACTTCCTTTGGTAAACCCTGCCTTTTGGGGGGGGGTGGGGGGGTGGGTTCTATACCATAAGAGAAAACTTTTGTCAGATCTGAACCTTCCCCAGAGGTACCCGGACACCCAGCACCACTGGAGAGAGGGTCAGCACACACCGACCTCTGGTGTTTCTTTCAAGTGGATGACACATGAACTTCAAAGAGCATTTTTACAACATGCTGCATCACCAGGGGTGGCTGGAATTGAAAAGACAAAACAAACTTTTCCATTTGCTAGGTAGGGAGTGAACCAATTGCAGTGAGCCCCCCTCATTAAAATCGGGTCTGGAGTAAAAAGTATACTGAACATGCAGGGCTCATTACTGTGCTTCCTAGTAAAAACCTATTTCTGAAATAGTGTTTATTACCATATCGTGTATTCTCTTAAGAGGCTCAACAGCTGCTGTCTAACCACTGTCTTAATGGAAAGCAAATTTAAGACTTAGGAAGCCTTGGGGGGACTGACAAGGAGAGTGTTTTCTTTCTTCTTTCCTTTCTTTCTTTTTAAAAATAATTTTGCAAAGATCTTAATACTGGACTGACCAGGTCATTGAATGGAATCAATGTATAAACTTCAGGCATACCCAAGTACATAAAATTTGCATTTATGCATAGATGAAAAATTTTACTTTTCCTAAATAACTAAATCACTAACAGCTCACATACATCATCCTCAAGAGAAATAGTACTACCACCCCTCCAGATAGGAAGGGGCAATTAATTACTCTTGTAAAAACTCCCCAGAGAATGTCATTATATTCTTAGATTTATATCTACAAATAATATCGAACCTGTTAAAAATTAATTAAAATGAAAATGAAAAAATAAAGAATAAAAAAGAAACATCCTCAAATTCAATAATCTCTGAGTTGTAGCCTCACTTCATGAGTCATTAGCTAATTGTTATGATTAGGTTAAATCTTATAATATTGAAGATTTAAGTCATTAAGTAAAAGCTGCTCAGATTATCCAACAAAGGTCCAGCAACTGAGTCCAAAGATAGATGCACACAAAACCCAATAATGTCACAACCATAGCACAAGAGTGGTCAGTAGACAGGTATGGGAGCCAAGTGATGCTGAGCTCCTTTGGGTAAATAGCACAAGCTTTCTGAACACACTTGAAGAGAAAGAAGTCCACTGGCCTGAAAAGATACACATATACTTCCTTCCTGATAATGCCACAGGGGTCTATATAGGGAGAGGCAGAAATAACCAGAAAAGGTTATTTAAAGCCCAGAATTTCAATCTCTCCTTCCAAGATTCAACTTGTAGTAGTTAAAATGAAGTTGGGTGAAAGGGCAGGAGAGAGAACAAGGAATATACAACCCAAGTATTGCCAAAAGGAGGCTCTCAGAGAAAAGCAGCACTTTAACCCAGAATAATTCTTCATATCATGACAGATGATGCTGGTGGTTTGCAACAAAATGAGAGTGTATTTAGGGCAGACTGGGTGTTATTACAAACTTTTGCGGGAATTGATAGAGCCTCCACCACTATGGAATTTGTAGATTTGCCCCATTCCTTGATTCCTCATGATTGGTTCTCATTGTCTGACTACAAAGATGTGGATCATCCCTATTATATTTTTAGTTGAGCACATCTGCAGCACAGCAGTGAATGCTGTAGACCTCAAAGGAAAGTTATCCACATGAGATCCATGATGTGTGTTTCCAATGTCAGATGTAATTAGTTTTAAATGGATACTTGGGTTTTAGAGGTATTCACCCAAGGCTTTCACTGGTGACTGCCTGAGTGATGATTTCAGTTCTGCTCATCAAGGGCAACTGTCCCTTCCATCCAGTCACTCCTGGTGCAAGCTGACACCCATCCCAATCTGCTCAGCCCATATGGAGCAGGGCATCCAGGCTGTGCATGTTCATGACTGTCTCCCCCAATTAGGGAGGGAGAGACAATTGTAGTGAGAAACAGCCCCCATTACTCACATCAAGATTAATATTTTCTTAATTGCTCTTTGAAATTTGCAGAATTTAGGAGAAAACAGATATCAGAACATAAGGTTTAGACTTCTCTATTTCCTATAGACTTACTTGCCCGCTGTAACAATATGTGACATTCCATTGAGATTTTCATTAAGTAAAGATCTCACTCGTGCCAAAAGCAGAACAATCCATTCTTCCACTACCATGATTTCATCATCCTGAAATTCAGAAATGTTTTAGTGCCTTTCATTCCTTTGCCACCACAGAGGCATCATTTCATTCATATGTGAATGGTTTCACATCACTAATATCGCAGTTCAGTGGTTTTCTCTAAAAATAGTTTATCATCCACTTAGGAACAAGGAGTCAGGATTGAAGCTTGAGTCTAACTAGGATTCAAATATGTTTGGGTACATGTAGCCAATGGTGTTGGGGTGGGGGGTGGGGATGGGATGGGGCTCTCTGAAGGCATTTGCCTGGCCCAAGGTAACTTCTGGGAGCTCTCACAACCTGAGAGTAAAGCCAAGGAAACTGGCAGAGGTGTAGGATGGTCCCGACATGTTGTATGTTACTGAAGTTTCCCTAGTCTCTCAGTATCCAACTTTCCCAACTCCAAAAGCAAGTCGAGAATGGAGGGTTCTTGTTCTAAAAGCTCTTTAAAATGTTGGACCACGGAGAAGATTGCTTTAAGACTCCACTCACCAAGTATAACACAGCATCCTCCCCCGATGCCATGAGTCACTGCATAGCTGGCAACCTCAGGGACTCAGGGTATCCAAGGAAATACCAGGCAGAGCAAGCACAGCAAGCAGAGTGCTGGGGGGAGGTTATGATGAGCACATCCACAACACCCCAGGGACTCACAGAAACATAATGAGGAAAGGGAAAAAGCATGTGAAGAATAGAGCTGGAACAATCCAAGCTTTGATGTTATTCTCATTTACCTCTGCCCATAGCTGGCAAGGCTAGGAAAGACCGCTTTTCTACTTATTGTGTATAAGGTCTGTCTTGAACCCTGGCCAATTAGACATATTGGTCAGTGAAACAGGTAACTGAGAAAAACATGTTACTTACTTTCAACAGATATTGAAGTCCAGAATTCGGGATTAGGATCCAAAACAACCATAGGAATTTAGTGATGGGTCCGTTATCCTGAGCTAAAACTCAGTGCCACCATGTTGTGACTGGGTAGATTGGTTACAGGTGTTCATGGGGTTGTGTAGAAAAGGTCAGATGGATTCATACAAATGTGAATGAATGAATCATGAGGCAGCTCTGTTCTCCAGGTGACTCTATAGTAGGATTCCAGTTCTTATGGGTTTTGTAAATTTACCCTGTTATTCTACCTGCTGGCTCTCAAGTCTCCACCTCCAAATGTGTTGGATAAACCTCCACCTTCATGAGTAACCTGGCAGGACTCAGCTGGCCCAGGCAATGAGGAGAGAAGTACAGGTTGAGACAGGAAGCAAATCTTGCTGAAACCTCTGGCAAATACAGCTGAAAGTAAGCACTTGAAAAGTACCTAAAATAAAGTGTGTGACTGGTTCTGAATTTCAGATATGAATCTTAAATGGTAAAAAAAAAAGTCCAAAAGGAAATCTCTGGGATTTAGAATTAATCTACCGAAAGAAAGGAGAACTAATTTGGACTAAATAGCCCTCTTTGAGTATTATATCTAAATGATGTTCTTATGAGAAACGTTGATAACACAATTCCACTGATTTTAGAATGTAAGAGAATTTAATTGAACTTAACACATAATAAGTATTGTGTAAGTACCCAATTTTAGCTGGTGACTGCCCAAGTTTAGGTTAGATATTTACCTTGGGGGCAGGTTTGGCACAGGGGTTAAGCCACCAGTTGGGATAGCCACATCCCATATTGAAGTGCTTGAGTTCCAGTACCAGCTCTGCTCTTATGCCAGCTTCCAGCTAATGCCCACCCTGGGAACCATCAAGTGATAACTCAAATAGATGGGGCCCTGCCACCCAGACGGGAGATGCTGGATTGAGATCCAAGCTCATGTCTTCAGCCTGGCTCAGTTCTGGCTACTACAGATATTTGAGAGTGAACTGAAGGATAGAAGATCCCTTTTTTCTCCTCTGTCCTTTCTCTCTCTCTCTCCCTCCCTACCTCCCTCCCTCGTTTCTCTTTATCTGTATCTCTATTTCTATTTCCCTCTCCCTGCCTTTAAAATTATATATATACATATATTTGTGTTGTACAAAAAGAATGAATTTCTGTTCATGCATGTCATTAAGCAGTGACAGCAATTGTGAGACAAAGTGATTGTAGTGTATATCTTGATGATTTTAAGAGTAAACCCCCAGCTGTCTACAGAAAAAATCCATGTGGAATAGGAAAACCTACCATACTACCTCTCATCTTACCTTGTCTGTTTTTTAATTTTTTTTTTCCTGTATAGACTTCTTTGGATAGAGTATAATTATAGTAACTTTTGACTTTAGATTTTCCGCATAAATACAGAAGCCTCAACCAAGTTATGCAGACAAAGTGGATGGAAGATACTAAGACAGGGACAGCAGCAAACTACATAACTCTCCAGTTCTCATTTCACTCATTCATAAAGTGGTGATATTGACAATACCCATGATACCATTCTGAAGATCAATTAGCTCATACAGGGTAAGCTTCTAGCATCTCAATCTGTGTCGGGCACATAATATATGCTTAACAAGTATACAATATTGACTAAATAAATATTCCAATTGTTTCTTTATTTAGTTATTTGTCATAATCATCAGGAAAAAAAGAGGTTGGCATAACCTCCTGGATCCTACTGTATTTAGTAAACATGACTTTTTTTTTTTTTTTTTTTTGACAGGCAGAGTTGACAGTGTGATAGAGAGAGAGAAAGGTCTTCCTTTTTCCATTGCTTCACCCTCCAATGGCCGCTGCAGCCAGCGCACTGCAGCTAGCGCACTGCACTGATCCTAAGCCAGGAGCCAGGTGCTTCTCCTGGTCTCCCATGTGGGTGCAGGGTCCAAGCACTTGGGCCATCCTCCACTGCACTCCCGGGCCATAGCAGAGAGCTGGCCTGGAAGAGGGGCAACCGGGACAGAATCCAGTACCCCGACTGGGACTAGAACCCGGATTGCCGGTGCTGCAAGGTGGAGGATTAGCCTAGTGAGCCATGGTGCCAGCCATGAAGTTGTTTTCAAGGGTCTTCTAAAGGAGGTCCAGGGGGCAAGCTTCACACTGCCACACTGCAGTTGTAAGCATACTCATTCTTATTACTCCTATGACAGTAGCATTTGTTGAGATTTACTGTCAGGTACTGTGCTAAGGGTTTCACATACATAGCTTGTACAACCCTCACAATAACACAAGGAGGTGACCGGAATTAATTCTCTGATTTTGCAGAAGGAGAGAAAGAAGCTTAGGGAGGTGAAGAAATGTTTGCAGAGTCTCCCACCTGGTTAGTGGTGGAGTGAGGAACAAGAATGCAGACGTCAGAGTCCAGAGCCATGCCCCTGGGAAAGAACAGAGTTAGAACAAGGAGGCCTGGGTTTGAGGACTAGCTCTGCCCTTTACAGATGTGAAAATACCGACATAATCTTAACTGCTCCCAGCCTAAATAATCAAGTCTGAGAAAAATAAATTCTGTCTCACAGGGATATTGTGAGGGCCAAATAAATTATTATAGTTTCCTTCCTTGTGAATTTTGTGAGAATAGAACTGTGTCCTACTAAAATTTTTATCCTGAGCACCTAGAACATGTCAGATTCTTTGGAAATTCTTTTGGGTAAATGACTAGTATCCATGAGTTTCCTTTTAACTACAAATCATTTTATACATTCCAGTTGTCATCATTATTGACAGCTTTATCACAAAGCGACCAACAGCCTCCAGACTGTAGAATCTAAGTGATTCCAAGAGTCTCCCAAGAACCTGGGCTGTGGAACAATGCAAACGGAACTTTGAATGCCCCTGCCCATGAAGTCTTGATCCAGGACTTATAATAGAAAACAAGTAGCTGGTCACCCTAATTACCAACAGATGATTTCAGAAATGAACATTTTTTTCCAAGGAAATAGTTGAAAAATCATTAGAAAAACATTCAAAATGTGGTCAACAGCAGGGACCCAGCGTGAGGCTTGAAGCAAACAGTGGAATCTTTAGAAGCCTACTTGGTGTTCCCAAGGTCAAGGGAGCAGACGCAAAGCACACTGCAGTGCTGAGTCACCGCGGGAGCCACCAGCACCACAGCCATCTTGGGTTGGCAGGAAGACAGGATTATAATAAAAAACAAGGGAAGTGATATTGCCCATAATATAAATATCACAACCATGGGCCATGTCAGATATGGCATCTCAGCTATTTATAATAACATATTTGCAAAGTGTAATTTGTCAAATGTCTCCTAGGCTGAGATAAGGTGTCAAACATCCCTTATTTTAACTGTGGCTCAAGGCGGGTTGTCTCAAGAACTGGCAGGCACCCACCTTGAAGCTGCAGTAAGTACTTCTCTGAGCTTGGCAAACTGCTGAAAAGACTGAACCCCTGACCATTCTGCCTATGTGACCTGAATATGCCAAACAAGACAAAGGCTGAAAAAACAGAAGGAGCTCAAATCTTAGTTCTCAAGTGGCAATATAGCATCTGGTTTCACTTTTAAAGCCATCAATATCAGTCCTTTTTTTTCACTTAAAAATATTTTCATGATATGACACTGAACACAAAATAGGGTAGACTAGAGGTAGGATGGTAGGGGGAGAGACAAAAATTTTGTCAGGATCAGAGATGTCTTTTGACCTAAACCTGAAATAATACTTATTTTAAATATAGACACACATTTACTTCTAAATCTTTCCTTTCATAGAAATAATTACAGCAGGAGCTAGGGTTGTGGCAAGCAGGTTGAGTTGCAGCTTACAATGCCATCATCCCATATGGGAGTGCTTTTTTGAATCCTAGCTGTGCAGCTTCTGATCCAGCTCCCTGCTAACGCATGTTGGAAAGCAGCAGCAGATGGCAAAACTGCTTGGGTGCTTGCCACACACTTGGGAGACCTGGATAGAGTTCCAGGGTCCTGGATCCAACCTGGCCCAGCCCCAGCCATGGTGGCCATTTGGGGAGTGAACCACCAATGGAAGATACCTTTATCTCTCTATGGTTTCCCCTTTGTCACTCTGCCTTTCAAATAAAATAAATCTTAAAAATTAATCACAGTGTGTATCAGAGATGATAGTGTGTG